CATACTGCGGGCCTGGCCTCTCTACAGCAGAACACAACTGTTGACTCTCGTTGCCAGTGCTTTGACACACGGTTCAAACCTTCTTGGACTTAGTTGATAGCCTTTCCATGAAAATGGATGCCTTCTGATACTTCTCATGTCAGTCAGACTCCGCATTTAATCTTGGCATTTGGCTTCGAAAAGTTCTGCGCAACTTCACGATAGGTGCTGTAAAGTGCCTATCATGTTACAAAACGTAGGTGCTGTAAAGTACCTTTGATGTCAAATAACACGGGTGTTGTCAGAGTTCATGTCTTTAAGAAATTGCAAGCATGATGCAGCACCATGTTGATTCTGCTTGAATTTCATGTCGGGTGACTACTGTGTGTCCCACCGTAGTATGGCATCTTAGTGCTTCCGAGGTGCTTTCAAGAAGCTGAAGGCATTCTACATAGAGGCGCCTGCGCACATGTCGCCCAGCCGGCTCCAATGAATACATGGAACACCATGCATTCAGATTCACTGCGCTGAATTTGAACTTACTTGGCAATGTCTCAGAAGTTGTCATTGTGAAATCATATGCGTCTACCTGCACCCTGAGGCTGCAACGGCTCCTGCCTGACCCTGATACAGACATATCTATGATGATATCCAAGATATGATATAATAAATGTTCTTCCCATATCGGCTTGGTGCCAAAACCTAAAACATGTAGATACGCGCCGAAGTACATACGCGAAACACTGCACAAGCTGCCTTTGTTAAGCTTGACTTGATTCTGCATATTACGCTGGCCTGGCGTACTTTCACACGGGTTCATGTTTGCTCCTATCGTGTGTTTCCACAACAAAACAGGTATACGCTGAAACAGCGCCAATAGCTGTGCGATAGCATGTGTTTTTACGCGTGTACATGTATTTACGTATGAATTTAATAACAGTTTCAACCATGGCCATAGTTTTTAATTCTATTTGCGAGTAATCTGTCATTTGTATCCTTGATATTGGCCTTGCCTCTGAACTTGAAGGGAAGCTTCTCTAAGGTCCCGGACTCTTGCCGGTGAAGATGTTCAGGATGGCAGTTCACAGCACCGTTGAAACCCATGCACTTTACAGCGCTGGGGGTGGCACTTTACAGCGCCTTTCCCCTGGTACTTTACAGCACCAGGTGGGTACTTTACAGCACCCAACCCACCCAGTACTTTTACAGCACTGGGTGGGTGTTTTCCCCAGTACTTTTACAGCACTGAGTGGGTACTTTACAGCACCCTAAAGCTCCTATAGTACTCTTATAGCACTACGTGGGTATTTTACAGCACCCACTATTTTAAGGGTACTTCACACCACCCTGCTATGACCACTCAGTGATACTTTACAGCATCGTGGCCATCAAGTTCCAACTCTTAGATACTGAACCATCTTTGCGTACAAATTTGTTGATGAACGAAGTTGAAAATAGGTTCTTTGAATTTGTTTCCTGCCATCATGGGATGACCTTCTACAATCTTTCAGTCCTGTGTGCAGGTGGGATTCCTGCGCATTTCTCCCTACATGTTTTGGATAGCATGTAAGTGTTTTGAAACGGTGCTTGAATTCTTGATGCTGTGACTGGCCAATCGAAGCCCCCACTCACCTGCAAACCGCAGACTTGTCTCCAAAGAATGTCAAACACACTGCGCATTATTGAAATATTGAAATATGAAATAAATCTATTGGAACGAAAGCCAAAGACACTGAGGATTGAGAGGTTAAGACAACTTGACAGAGCCGCTGTAAAAGTGTCTTGCAATAAATTGTGTGAAAGCGTTGTGAATTGTGTAACAACATCTTACCTTGACATCACATATTCAATAGATCGGTGTTGGCTATAAAAACTCAAAACGCAGCATCTGAGATCAAAACGGTTGTGAGCCTGAGCCTGCTGAGGCCCATGGCACTTTGAGCCACCTACTGCTCTTGTTTTTTGTCGATCACATTTTTTTCCACTCATGATAATATGCATCAATACATTCACCAAACACCATGCATTCAATACAACTGTGTTTTCAACTAAAGTTGGCGCAGAAGACCCGTACGCGGAACAGGTGATGGTTATGGATATTCTGGACAGCATCCATGAAAAACAATGTCTAGATTGTCTAGATGTGAAAAGAGATCTGAATATCCCTTTGAAAACAAAACACGGGAAAGAACAAATAGCCTAGGCAGAAAGAACAAATAGCCAGGCAAAGCTTTTCATGGAATGGTACGAACTGAAGGCGGCACCAACGTCATGGTCGAATGGCGAAAGGTTGTTCGGCGGCAGGCCGAAGAATATGATGAAGTACGTGGTAAACACGCTCGAGATGTACGAGAAGATGATGGAGTTCCTCGTTCACGTCGGGCATACCCCAGACCGGATGAAGTTCCTCACCCCGATGAACAAGATGAAAGGGGCCAATGAGGAGAAAGGAGAAATGAGAAAGATGATTAGTGACTTCGTGTCACGATTGCTCAAGGGCGCATTTCCATCATTCCGAGGGCGAGCAGGAGGCCCAACGTGGAAGATTGACATGACCCGAAGGTAGCGGAAGACGTGTTTCGGAGCATTGCAGACAATGAAGGCGCTCAACGAGCAGCAGAAGCGTCAAGAACTGCTGCATCAGGCCAAGGACAAGTTCCCAAAGCAGCAGGGCCGAAACCACCTCCGGCAAAAGGGGCTGGTTCCGAAGCTTCGTCGTCTTCCTACGCTGCTCCATCATCATCTCCGGCACAAAAGGCGAAATTGCCACAGAAAGCAATGCCTGCCAAAGCCGCACCAAAGCCATCAAGACCACCTAGCGAGAAGCCACAACAAGCGCCCCAGTTGAAGAAGAAGAGAGCCGACCAGTGATCACTACGGGGCTATGTGGCGTACATCATCTTCGTTGGCTACGGATGATGAAGAACTATGACTTTTGAGAGGACTCTGAGCGTGGCTAGTGTACAGTCATCTTAGATTGCTTCTCACGTCAATTCCCAATCAACTAATTCATTTTCTTTGCACAGAGTAGATTTGCTGATAGCTGGTTTGCTACTCGCGTAGATGAGATGTGTTAGTTGCGTCCAACGGACGGCTAACATCATCAATTCGCAGTGTAGTTAGCGTAGTTTGAAGTGGGTCCATTTCTGTACAGCATGATACTTCTACCCACGCGATTGCCACGAAGATGGCATGGGGATCTCCGACCCTGCGTCCAACGGACAGGTGAGGAGTGAACCACAATTTCAAATTCTTTTGCGGTAGATGTAGCGTGCATGGATTATTTTCTTCGTTCCCTCTCTCGTGCCCAAAATTTGAAGCAACTTCGGGCATGGGGGGTGTCAAAGGGAACTGCACGGTAGCTTACAGTGTCATGTACATATTCATGCATGTCAACTGTATTGCGACTTACGCCAACTTGTTGGCTCAAGATCCAATCATTGCAAGGTAAAACAGTGAGCGCTTGCCACCGCATGTCGTCGGCTTGAGGCTAACAACATTGACACTTGAGCACCTGACTGCATTGTAACCCGGAACAAGGGTAGAATTGTTCACACTTTTATATCGTGTTATGGTATATTACACTTATCTTATATTATGTTTTGCATTTATCTTTTTTTACTTTATGGAAAATATTTTATATCTTATCATTCTGTATGTTATGATATAATCTATTAAACTAAATTATTTTATGTATATATAATTATATATATAGCGCCGGACAACTACTTAGAACATCGTTTTGGAAATTTTTCGGTGGGTACGCGCGCTCTACTTAGAACATTTTCGGCGAATAGGGGGACGTATGTTCTAAGTGACTTAGAACATATGAGGATCCTCTACTTAGAACATGCCATCATATATACATGTAAATATATGTATATGTATACATACATACAACTTAACACTGCATATTTATATTATATATACAGGTGTTGTGATGTTGCGTTAAGATACATGGAGATGTCTATATTGAGGTATATTGAAATTATATGACCGATTGAGCGGTTGGAATGGTCCAAAGCCTACAGCGGGACGAGATTCGAGATTCGAGATCCTACAGCGGGACATATATTGAGCTGAACAAAATGAGCGAATGGATCCGGATGCTCTAGGTGAGAGGCTACAATTCGAACATCAGGTTTGGAAAGTTTTTATTATATGAATATATAGTGCCGGACAATTACAATATTAAAAATATATTATATATACACAGGATTTTCCAAAAATGCACGTAGATAGCTGGGGAGATTCTTACTTAGAACATGGGGGAACCCCCAAAACCTCTACTTAGAACATCCCGTGAACATATATGTTCTAAGTAGTGGTCCAGGATCTCTACTTAGAACATGTTTTGGAATTCCAAAACCAATGTTCTAAGTATATGTCCGGCACTATATATATTTACATATTTGGTATTTTTGTATTATATAATATTTTGTTTTTGATGATATTATATTTTGTTCTATAATATTAAATATGGGTTTGTCGTACCGGCAATATTTTATTGCCTAAACATGAACGCTATTGAAATACGTGCCTGACCAGCTTTCGTCCCTTACTTACCCATGGTTTCAGTTAGTATAGTGTGTTTAAACAACCAGGTGCACATTTTGCATTTCAACAGTCCCACCAAGAATGCGTTTTTCAAAGATCAGTTGTTTTCTTGCGGTAGGCAAAACACGTTGTACAACAAAATTTGAAATTTCATATTGAACCCAGCCCATACCAATTGTGATGACTGAATATTGGACAACGTGCTTGGTTTGGTTCAAAACGATGGTCGTGAGAAAAACAATTGCATATGTGGATCCTTGCGTTAGCATGTTTCAAACAATGGTTGGACACATGGACGTTTCAATTTATCGTCAAATGTTGTTGATGATTGGTTCGTTGTTGTTGATACACATGTTCAAATTTATTTCCATTAAACGAAACAAATTTGATGAACATGTCAGCATCCATGGGCCATATGTTTTCACCATCACAACTGGCATTGCCACCCAGCCTTGAGAAAACAATGGTTAGGGTTGTCCGGCACAGTGAGAGCTGAACATGTCCGGCACCCAGTTGGGGATCTACAGAATTTCCGTGCGGTTTCTGGTGATGTTTCCATTCCTGTGAATTTTAGTCACAGAGTAGTATCTCCCCAACTTGGTGAGTTTTTCTCGCACATATGTTGTCAGTTGATATTTGTGTTGGTCCCTCGGATCAACTCTCCTACCCCACCCTGATTTCAGAGAGCAGGGTTGGAATCGTTGGGGCAAAACTGAAGGGAATTTTGTAATGAAACCTAGTAAGAAAATACACTGTATATAGAGCAGGGTTGATTCATTTTCCATTCAGATGGGGATTTCTGAACTAACCAGGTTCAGTTGTTGACCAATTGCCAAAATCAGATTGGATTCCCTAAAATGTGAGTGGGCAGGTCCCACATTGGAACAACATCTTTATCTACAAAATCGTATGAATATAGTTGGTTTAGTTCACCGGTTGAATCGACTTCCCTTTATAGGTGGTCGCGCCATTTGTTTTTATTGTTTCCAAAATGGGAACCTTTGATGACAAATACCAGCAACACTGGGATTCCCCTAAATTTTGAACACCTGCACTTGGGTTATGGGTCAGAATCCAAGATCGTAATTAAGCATCCACATATTTTGTTTTAACCAAGAAACATACGCGTTTGTCCAAACATGCGGTGTACCATGATTATCCCAAAGTCTACCTTAAGTACATTAGTTTCTCCAGAATTAGGGTACCCCCAATCCAGTCATCATCATTTTTTCCAATTCAAATGACCAATTTGTGTGTCGCCTTTCATCCTGAGAACTTAATGTTTCAAATCAAGTTGGGTTATACGGTTATACACAGATTATATTATATATATAGTCATCCCCAAATAGATGGAAAAGTAAATCCCTACTAATTGGTGATTTACTTTTCCATCTATTTGGGGATGACTATATATATATAATATTTATCACAGCAGATCCCGCATATCTCCATGAAATATCGCCATCAGGTCCGAAGGGCCCCTGGAAGAGGCGGAAACGCTGCCTGCTCCAGCAGAAGTGGAGGAACCGCAGTTGACCTCCAAGGTAAGACGACTTTAATTGGTAAAGTATGGTAAAATGGTTACTGAGCCATGAAACTATCTAAATCGATGGGGAAAATGGGGATTTAAACCCTGATTTATAGTCATTTTAGTGGGACAAACTAGGTTTTCAAGTATGAAATGTGAGGTTTTCAGTCACAGAGTGCGTAGAATGCGTAGATTCTATCCCTAAGTTTTTGGATCCATTAGCGAAAATGTGGTCCAATCATGTCCAATCTATATTCCTTGTGATTCCTCCAAGATGCGGCCCAAATGGACTCAGCAACAAAGTGAAAGTATGAGGCAGTATGAGGTGCCAAGGGCCCAAAACTCCTTCCCCAGGAGCATGAGGGGTTGCTGGAGAATGACCTGTACCTGCTGACGCAGGGTCAGGAGCCGCAACATCATGACTTCTCAGGGCTGGAAGATTGGGGCCTCGTCAGGATGCAGGGGAATTTTTTCCAGGACAGCGTCGAGAGGCGCAGGGGCGCTAGAAGACCATGGTCTTCTAACGTCTGCTGCTGGGATTTCACCATTTTCACCATCCCATCTCGGAATTTTGGTGATTACTTCCTGCAATTTGGGTGATATAAAAATGGAGGAAAACAGTCTGTCAAAGACCTCCAGTTCGACGCACACTATCTCCTTGACTAACAGTTACTAACACACCTCGGACTGAGCCATGTTTTGATTGATCCACATTATCTTGTCGTTTTGCGGTTGAAATTTTAATACTGTTGTTCAGGGCCACTTGGCAACAACTCCGTCTTATCATCGCCACTTTGCGAAAATGGCGATGAGCCTATGGCATGCGAAGTTAGATTGGATAAAACCTGATGGAATTCATCAATCCATTTGAAAATAAGGATTTAGACTAAGCGGATTATTTACCTACTAGATCCTATTTGGATTCCTTTTTTTGGGATGACAATACCACAAAAAAAACATCAAACTTGTCCATGGCACATATATTCACTAATAGCATGTCAGTTTCTGCCATTTTTATAATATCAATGGGGGTTGCCTTTTGTGGCTATGGCTCAAAATAATTAACCAATTCTTACCAGTCCAGGTTACAACTCTTGAAATATCTCGGTTAAAAGGGGTAACAACGGTAACAACCACGCAGTTAATGATGTTAACTATCAATCCAATACTTCAGGCCTTTGGTTGGGTAAACGTGTAGAAATATTACGGCCTGGATGTTACTGGAATACCATTCAAAAAAAATGTGGACCAGGCCAACCAAACAACTTATCGTTGTTATATTTATCATTTACATTGTTATATCGATTTAAGGTATCATCATATTGTTATATTTCTCATCTTTTTCTGCTTCGATATAATTCTTGGTTGAAATGTGCCCCTGTCGCAGGAAGCTCCAAGAAATGAGCGCTCCAAAAGGCGAGGTGAGGATGGATGGTTGGAAGTAAAAACATGGGGATAAAGCAACATGATCATGAAACTGGATGGATAGTATGGATAAGAGTCAGAAGACTTGTCACAACAGTAAAGCCTGGGGATATTTGGATATTTCACCAGCAAATATTTGAAGAAATGCTAGTATGAGTAGCCATAACCGGTTGACGGAAACACATACGGCCATTCCCGAAACCATCGATAAATGGCCAATCGAGTCAAAGGTGTTTCAGTTCTAAGCTGAAGAAAAAAATTGTCTGGCCAGTTGGTGCAAACAAAACAGTAAGTTTACTATTTACTATATATTACAGTTGGATACTGTTGGTATATCACTGTTTATTATGAAAATATGAACATTTATCAACTCCTGTCAAACATTTTTGCATAATCACTAAGGTTTTGCGACATTTTTTTCTGGGAAATTCCATCCTTAAAAAGGGACATCACCAGCAAAATCAGCCGAAGTTCAATCCCAGTTAGCCCATCAGGCCATGGGTTTTCTGGAGTTTTCCTCGATTTTTCTGGTTATATTCTCTCCCTGGTTTGGTTTTGAATTACCAAGATCGTTGGTTCATGCTTCAAATCTGTGTCGCACTTTCCCCCGTTCATTGCTTGGGAGTGCGGTCGCAAATTCCTAGAAAATTCCTTCAAGCCACCTTTACAGCAATAATCCCTTCCCAATCGTAAATACCCACATCAAATCCTGGGTTAGTATTGGGCTTATTCGGCCTCTGGGGCCCAGCAGAATTCGAGTGATCTGCTCCTCCAGAGATCGAGGCGGAAACGGGCCTCGCCCGAGACGCAGCACCGACCGGTCGGTGCTATGGAGCCGCAAATTGGTGGCATCCAGGTTCATTCGGGTTTCTGAGAGCGCAACAATCATGGTTAGTTCATGTTAGATCCCAGTTGAAATTGGCACAACCCATTGGTAAATTCATGTGCAGGTGAAAACTCAATTTCTGCTTGGCAAATCCTGATTTCTGTTGAAAGTTGAAACAAGTGAAAACACACATTAAAAAATTGATTGAGGGGGCCAAGCCCACTTTCCATAGGGTGCACGGTGAACGCACATTTTTGGTCGTTTCAATCCATGGTTTCTGGTCCCGAGGCTCGCGCTGCCGGCGCCCGCCGACGCCGCCATCGCCGCGGAAGCCACCGCGGACGCCGCCGACGCCGCGGCCGACGCTGTGGGCGCCGGTGCTGGCGCCGCGGCCGACGCTGCGTCGCCGGAGATGTCTCCCGAGGTGCGCCAATGGTGCTGGGAATCTGATCCCATTTGGCACAATTTGGAGGTACCCGGCGTACCCCAAATCATCCACGTCACACTTGGTATTGAAACCTACAGATTTATTGAATTTATTGGGATCCCCCATGAAAAAAGAAAGCCTCATTTCTGCTTGGTGATGCTTCCGAAACGTTATTATTGGGTTGCTGTGGATGATTGGGGATTGTGAGGGTCACTTCACCCTTCACTGCATGAACTCTGCAGAACTGCTAAGATACCAAAGTGATCCAAAGTGACAGTAGAAAACCTTGCAGAGTTCACCATCCTTTCCAGAGATTCCAGCCTAGGATGTGGCTGCTGAAATGGAACGCGCGCGGAAAAAGAAGAAATTTGAGCATCTTGGCGCAGCTTAACCTGAGGTTTGGCGATGTTTTTTCTGGTAACTTACCACTGGAAAGTGGATAAAGTGGAACCGTTTCTCAACGAGATTCATGAACTTTCACCAACAAAGATTGGAATATTTCATGAACATAAATGTTTCTTGAGTACTAGCAGGGCATGGGCATCGTTACATTCGTTACATCGTGTCGGAAGTTCCCGCAAACCATCGGAATCCTTGGGGATGGGAGATTTTTCGGAACATTGGAAGCAATCCCACTATAGGACTGGTAAATAAAAATTATATACATATATATATATATATTTATATGTAATGTGTATATATATATATACATATATATATATATTATATCATAATTTTTTTCATCACTAAGTGGACCATGGAAGCCCAAAGGGTAATACGGTAAGGAAAGATTTTCATTTTTTGGGGCTGTCGTTCTCTGAGGTCCAAACCCGTGGAAGCCCGAAAAGAGGGCGATGAGGGCGACTGGATCCACTTTCCTTCCTTGGCAGCTGCCTCGCGGGAGACAGGCGAACGAACTGGACTTGGAAAGCAGAAATGGATAGAAATGGCTGCAGCTAATGATGACATGAATTCATCAGTGAGACAACTGGAAGATACCCTCTGGTAATTTAACATAGCTATTGAAAATGGCCATTTATAGTGGATTTTCCCATTAAAAATGGTGATTTTCCATAGTTATGTTAGTTTACCAGAGGGTACTTGATGAATGATGAAAGTATTTTTGAAAGAACTGGAACCTTTCCTCTAAGGGCCAAGGGCGGCGCAGGTGTTCCGAATGGTTCCATTGCGTCGTTGTGCACCCTGCAGGGCAGCCACACAGGCCGGGTTTTTGGGATGGGCCAAAACGCGGAATATATATATATATAAATCTGAATAGCAGAAAAAAAGAAAGATAAGAAAGTCTAAAAGCTGTCTACCCACGACTTGAGAGAGGTCGGACCTCTCACCAGACGCCTGGGAAAACCTTGGCCTGAAAGCTGACCGTAGCTATTTCAGGCAGAGAAGAAACATGAAGCCGAACCGAGTGCACGGCACCACACAATTCTGTTCGCACCCCAAACCAGCTGCCTTTTTAGGACTGTTTCCAAAAACCATCATGCAGTTGACCTGTCAGCTCTTTCTCAGCAACAGCAGGCTCAATCGTGGCAACAATCCGTGACATCCACAAGACATGGTGCCCCAGAATGGGCCCGACTTAGTAGGAAACCATCTTCCACGTGAAATGTTGGGGGCTACGAAGCAATTCTTGAAACCAACTCAATCCGATTGCAGCTGGAAGTGTAACAAGAGCCATGACCATGTTGGCAAGCTATCAATCTCCCCTGCATGCGCTTTGCTTCAGTTTGCTGGTGCCTTGATCGTGGAGTCTGTGGGTACATTGATGGGTCAAGTCACTACGGATCCGAAAAAAAATGGACCCGCATAACAAGCGCGCATTTGATACATTCAAGAGTTTTGAATATCAATGTAAACAGCGCTACATGATCTACATGTACATATATATATATATCTAATATATGTATATATATATATCTAATATATATATATACACGTAATCATATATATATATATTACATATATATATATATATATTACATATATATATTACATATATATATTACATATATATATATATATATTACATATATATATATATTACATATATATATTACATATATATATATATTACATATATATATTACATATATATATATTACATATATATATTACATATATATATATATTACATATATATATATTACATATATATATATTACATATATATATTACATGTATATATATTACATATATATATATTATATTACGTATATATATATATATATAAATAATATATATATATATATATGTAATATATATATATGTAATATATATATAATATATATATGTAATATATATATATATACGTAATATATATATAATATATATATATATATGTAATATATATATATATATATGTAATATATATATATATATGTAATATATATATATATGTAATATATTATTATATATATACACACGTACATTCTATTTTCCCAACAGCGTTAGCTTAGGGGTCTCAGCCCTGTGGTGTACAAAGCACAAGACAGCTTCACTGAGGGCGTCCATAGGCTGTCAAGCTTTAGGACCTTTGCTGTTGGGGATAGTACTTGGGCGGATTCTTTCGGTCATCTCAGCATATTCAACTTTCATGTGCCGTCATCAGACAAGACGCATTCATGAAAGACTGAACTACCGTAAAATACCGGATGACGGATTTCAAACATAGTCTAAGTGACATAGGCTTCATTGCTACTGTTGCGTCCTTTCAGCCCTGAACATACTCTTGCTATATGTTTCCATATGCAGTGCTGTGCGACAAATGGTGGCCACTCATACACAAAAGGACCAAGTACTTGAGCTCCATGTGATAAATTTCCTTGGTGAAGCCCACTGTTGACCCCATGGCGAGTTTTTCCTTTTTGAGTTCCTACGCCGCCTACGCAGAAAACATCTTTTCCTTGATATTTCCTCTGTACAATGGGGGTACCTGGGTATTGACTAAAGTAAAATTGTTGTTTTTCAGCCATGCCAAGGTGCTTCCATCGGAGGGCCAGTCTTCAGATATGAGGATTGTGATTTTACCAGATCAGACACTTGGAGAGATTTGGATGATCCAATGGTTTTTAGGGGCAGACTTCGAGGTGCCTTGAAGTGGTGCAAGTGGTGATTTGAGCAACGATTGTAGTTCGGAGAGACGGTCTTGATATAGCTGAAGAACGATGTGGTAAAATGAATAGATACTTGATAACTCTTGATCAAAGGAAGTTTAGGGGGAGAAACTTCCGTGTTACGGACTTTTAGAATGTCAGGGAAAGAGTTAGTCAAAGAAACAGTTAGTGAGGGAAAGAGTTAGTCAAAGAAAGAGTTAGTCAAAGAAACAGTTAGTCAGGGAAAGAGTTAGTCAAAGAAAGAGTTAGTGAGGGAAAGAGTTAGTCAAAGAAAGAGTTAGCAAAGAAAGAGTTCGTCAGGGAAAGAGTTAGTCAAAGAAAGAGATAGTGAGGGAAAGAGTTAGTCAAAGAAAGAGTTAGCAAAGAAACAGTTAGTCAGGGAAAGAGTTAGTCAAAGAAAGAGTTAGTGAGGGAAAGAGTTAGTTAGGGAAAGAGTTCATCAGGGAAAGATTTAGTCAAAGAAAGAGTTAGACTGTCAGGAAAGAGTTAGTCAAAGGAAGAGTTAGTGAGGGAAAGAGTTAGTTAGGGACAGAGTTAATTGTAACTTTTAGAATGTCAGGGAAAGAGTTAGTCAAAGAAAGAGTTAGTCAAAGAAACAGTTAGCAAAGAAAGAGTTCGTCAGGGAAAGAGTTAGTCAAAGAAAGAGTTAGTCCAAGAAACAGTTAGTCAAAGAAAGAGTTAGCAAAGAAACAGTTAGTCAGGGACAGAGTTAGTCAAAGAAAGAGTTAGTGAGGGAAAGAGTTAGTCAAAGAAAGAGTTAGTCAAAGAAACAGTTAGTCAGGGAAAGAGTTAGTCAAAGAAAGAGTTAGTCAGGGAAAGAGTTAGTCAAAGAAAGAGTTAGTGAGGGAAAGAGTTAGTCAGGGAAAGAGTTAGTGAGGGAAAGAGTTAACATAAGAAAGAGATAGTGAGGGAAAGAGTTAGTCAAAGAAAGAGTTAGCAAAGAAACAGTTAGTGAGGGAAAGAGTTAGTGAGGGAAAGAGTTAGTCAAAGAAAGAGTTAGCAAAGAAACAGTTAGTCAGGGAAAGAGTTAGTCAAAGAAAGAGTTAGTCAGGGAAAGAGTTAGTCAAAGAAACAGTTAGTCAGGGAAAAAGTTAGTCAAAGAAAGAGTTCGTCAAAGAAAGAGTTAGTCAAAGAAAGAGTTAGTCAGGGAAAGAGTTAGTCAAAGAAACAGTTAGTCAGGGAAAAAGGTAGTCAAAGAAAGAGTTAGTCAGGATATAAGAGGTAGTCAAAGAAAGAGTTAGTCAAGGAAAGAGTTAGTCAAAGAAACAGTTAGTCAGGGAAAAAGGTAGTCAAAGAAAGAGTTAGTCAGGATATATGAGGTAGTCAAAGAAAGAGTTAGTCAGGATATATGAGGTAGTCAAAGAAAGAGTTAGCAAAGAAAGAGTTCGTCAGGGAAAGGGTTAGTCACAGAAAGAGTTAGTTAGGGCATTGATTGTTCCCGCAATGCAAATGGGATTGCAAGTGGTGCTGGTGGATGAGTTGCCAATGGAGTTGTGAAGGAAGTCTCGCACGAAATGCGTTTTTGAGAGATAGCAGATGCACGAAACCCTATGTTTTTCCATACAAAGTGCGTCCCCGAACCTCTATGATCTACCTCTGCGGTGCGACGGGTGCGAGACGGTCTCGTGTGTGGTCGGATCATGGTCGGATCATGGGCGGATCATGGGCGGATCATGGTCGGATCGGTTCCGCATTGTAAATGGGGTTGCAAGTGGTGCTGGTGGATGAGTTGCAGATGCAATTCCATTGTGATTTGCAACTCTAGGATCGTTCCCGCAATGTAAATGGGATTGCAAGTGGTGCTGGTGGATGAGTTGCCGATGGAGTTTTGAAGGAAGTCTCGCACGAAATGCGTTTTTGAGAGATAGCAGATGCAGGAAACCCTATGTTTTTCCATACAAAGTGCGTCCCCGAACCTCGATGATCTACCTCTGCGGTGCGACGGGTGCGAGACGGTCTCGTGTGTGGTCGGATCATGGTCGGAACATGGGCGGATCATGGTCGGATCGGTTCCGCATTGTAAATGGGGTTTCAACTGTTTTTCGTGCACGTGTGGTCCACAGAATTCCATTGTGATTTGCAACTGTAGGATCGTTCCCGCAATGTAAATGGGATTGCAAGTGGTGCTGGTGGATGAGTTGCCGATGGAATTCCATTGTGATTTGCAACTGTAGGATCTTTCCCGCAATGCAAATGGCATTGCAAGTGGTGTTGGTGGAGGAGTTGCCGATGGAGTTTTGAAGGAAGTCTCGCACGAAATGCGTTTTTGAGAGATAGCAGATGCATGAAACCCTATGTTTTTCCATACAAAGTCCGTCCCCGAACCTCGATGATCTACCTCTGCGGTGCGACGGTTGCGAGACGGTCTCGTGTGTGGTCGGATCATGTTCGGATCATGTTCGGATCATGCTCGGATCATGCTCGGATCGGTTCCGCATTGTAAATGGGGTTTCAACTGTTTTTCGTGCATGTGCGGTCGACAGAATTCCATTGTGATTTGCAACTGTAGGATCGTTCCCGCATTGTAAATGGGGTTGCAAGTGGTGCTGGTGGATGAGTTGCCGATGGAATTCCATTGTGATTTGCAACTGTAGGATCGTTCCCGCAATGCAAATGGCATTGCAAGTGGTGCTGCCGGATGAGTTGCCGATGGAGTTTTGAAGGAAGTCTCGCACGAAATGCGTTTTTGAGAGATGGCAGATGCACGAAACCCTATGTTTTTCCATACAAAGTGTGTCCACGAACTTCGATGATCTACCTCTGCTGTGCGACGGGTGCGAGACGGTCTCGTGTGTGGTCGGATCATGTTCGGATCGGTCTCGGATCGGTTCCGCATTGTAAATGGGGTTTCAACTGTTTTTCGTGCATGGGTGGTCGACAGAATTCCATTGTGATTTGCAACTGTAGGATCGTTCCCGCAATGTAAATGGGATTGCAAGTGGTGCTGGTGGATGAGTTGCAGATGGAATTCCATTGTGATTTGCAACTGTAGGATCGTTCCCGCAATGTAAATGGGATTGCAAGTGGCGCTGGTGGATGAGTTGCCAATGGAATTCCATTGTGATTTGCAACTGTAGTATCCTTCCCCGCAATGTAAATGGGATTGCAAGGTTGCTTCATGCTTTGGCTGCATACGTAATACTATTGTCTTTTGCAGCTGGACTTCGTAAATCGTATTGGAGTGGCTGCATGAAGGCTCGGACAGTGATTTGTCAGCAGATTTTCTCCATTTTGGCGCTAGTGATTTTCCTTCTAAAAATCCTTTTAAAAAGTGCTTCAAAATCGTCTTTTTTTCGCTCTGGCGTCGAGATGTTTTGGAGCTACAATTTCTGACGCCGTTGCGCGTAGTTCTATTGTGTTTTGCAACTCAGTCTCTGCAGATCGCATTGTAATGGCTGCGTCAAGGTTGCTTCGTGCTGTGGCTGCATTTGTAATACTATTGTCTTTTGCAGCTCGACTTCGTAAATCGTATTGGATTGGCTGCATGAAGGCTGCCACAGTGATTTGTCAGCAGATTTTCTCCATTTTGGCGCTAGTGATTTTCCTTCTAAAAATCCTTTTAAAAAGTGCTTCAAAATCGTCTTTTTTTCGCTCTGGCGTCGAGATCCGGTTTTGGAGTTACAATTTCTGACGCCGTTGCGCGTAGTTCTATTGTGTTTTGCAACTCAGTCTCTGCAGATCGCATTGTAATGGCTGCGTCAAGGTTGCTTCGTGCTGTGGCTGCATTTGTCATACTATTGTCTTTTGCAGCTCGATCTCGTAAATCGTATTGGAGTGGCTGCATAAAGGCTGCGACATGGATTTGTTAGCAGATTTTCTCCATTTTGGCGCTAGTGTTTTTTTGTTGCACGTAGGTTTAGAGCAGTGTGAAGTGTGGGGCGTGAAGAGTGCAGTGTGAAGTGTGCAGTGTGAAGGAAGCAGTGGGAAGTGAGAAGTGTGAAGGAAGCAGTGGGAAGTGAGAAGTGTGAAGTGTGGAGTGTGAAGTTTAAGTTTGGAGTGCGAAGAGCGCAGTGTGAAGTGTGAAGTGTGAAGTGTGAGGTTTGGAGTGTGAAGGAAGCAGTGAGAAGTGTGAAGTGTGGACTGTGAAGTGTGAAGTGTGAGTGAAGTGTGGAGTGTGAAGTGCGAAGTGAGTGAAGTGTGAAGTTTGGAGTGTGAAGTTTGGAGTGGGAAGGAAGCAGTGAGAAGTGAGAAGTGTGAAGTGTGGACTGTGAAGTGTGGAGTGTGAAGGGCGAAGTGAGAAGTGTGAAGTTTGGAGTGTGAAGGAAGCAGTGAGAAGTGAGAAGTGTGAAGTGAGAAGTGTGAAGTGTGGACTGTGGAGTGTGGAGTGCGAAGAGCGCAGCGTGAAGTGTGAAGTGTGAAGTGTGAGGTTTGGAGTGTGAAGGAAGCAGTGAGAAGTGTGAAGTGTGGACTGTGAAGTGTGAAGTGTGAGTGAAGTGTGGAGTGTGAAGTGCGAAGTGAGAAGTGTGAAGTTTGGAGTGTGAAGTTTGGAGTGGGAAGGGAGCAGTGAGAAGTGAGAAGTGTGAAGTGTGGACTGTGAAGTGTGGAGTGTGAAGTGCGAAGTGAGAAGTGTGAAGTTTGGAGTGTGAAGGAAGCAGTGAGAAGTGAGAAGTGTGAAGTGAGAAGTGTGAAGTGTGGACTGTGAAGTGTGGAGTGCGAAGAGCGTAGCGTGAAGTGTGAAGTGTGAAGTGTGAGGTTTGGAGTGTGAAGGAAGCAGTGAGAAGTGTGAAGTGTGGACTGTGAAGTGTGAAGTGTGAGTGAAGTGTGAGTGAAGTGTGGAGTGCGAAGTGCGAAGTGAGAAGTGTGAAGTGTGAGTTTTGGAGTGTGAAGTTTGGAGTGGGAAGGAAGCAGTGAGAAGTGAGAAGTGTGAAGTGTGGACTGTGAAGTGTGGAGTGTGAAGTGTGGAGTGTGAAGTGCGAAGTGAGAAGTGTGAAGTTAGGAGTGTGAAGGAAGCAGTGAGAAGTGAGAAGTGTGAAAGTGCGAAGTGAGAAGTGTGAAGTGTGAAGTTTGGAGTGTGTGAAGGAAGCAGTGAGAAGTGAGAAGTGTGAAATGTGGAGTGTGAAGTGTGAAATGCGAAGTGAGAAGTGTGGACTGTGAAGTGTGAAGTGTGAAGTACTGTGAAGTACGAAGTGTGAAGTGTGGACTGTGAAGTGTGAAGTGTGGACTGTGAAGTGTGAAGTGTGAAGTGTGGACTGTGAAGTGTGAAGTGTGCAGTGTGAAGTGTGAAGTGTGAAGTGTGAAGGAAGCAGTGAGAAGTGAGAAGTGTGGAGTGTGAAGTGTGGAGTGTGAAGTTTGAAGTTTGGAGTGCGAAGAGTGCAGTGTGCAGTGTGAGGTGTGGAGTGTCGAGGGAAGGACACGGTCGGGACAGGGTGTCTTTGAACTATAGGTCATTTATGTTTGGGAAACTTCCGCCGCCGGCTTGCCCGGGTCTATGTTAACTTGATAAACACAGCAATATCAGGATATTGAGATAGCAAAGTGATCTGACATTGAACTGGTAGTAACATGCATTTTTCCAGAGTTATGCGACGCGAGGATTAGATCGAACTGCATTCGGAGGTGGTACAAAGCAGCCGGGTTTGTTTGAAAATCGGAAAAAAAACCACACCCCCATGGATTATCATTATTTTCTCCAATTGAACATACTAGACATTGTTGGATCTCAAAATAATTGGATTACTGTATCATTGTTTATGGCAATGGTTTTTTCATGTTCAGACGTTCGCGTGACCGAGCACCTCACCGAGGGTCCTGATCATCGTGGTCATCGGTGTCATCGCCTTTGGTGCTTGTTGTGGCATCTTCGCTGTACTCTGGCGGAATCGACGCGATCTCGTAACTCTGATGCCTGCAACTTGGTCGGACCTGGGAGGCAGATTTTTTTCCAAAAATGGAGGTTTTTAATGGGACAATCATCTATAAATGGTGGATTTTCTGTTGCAATATTTGATAATATTTGATTACCAGATTATATCCAAATACTGGACATCAAAGCTAGAATGCTTAGCCCCTTCAACGATTTTTTTCTCAAAAGCCATGAGGATAGATTTTGTTGCCTGAAACAGTGCGGTTTAAGCCAACACCATCTATTTTGGAGTGGCTTTGATCCTCTACGAATCAATGATGGGTTGATTCATCCAGGCTCGTTTTTACTGTGCCAAGCCACTTTCTTAGCCACTTTCAGTTGGGGATCAGGACCCATTTGGATGGCGCAAGTAGCCCCATCCCCTTGTTTCTCCGTGAAGCTTCGCCAAAATGTGTTTCCAGCGTCACCAAGGTTTCTTGTTATGTGCCTTTAGCCAATGCTACACTCCATCCCCAACGTACCATGAGTTGGATGGGTCACTCATCCCAGTTTTCGCATCGCCTGGGGTCGCCTGGTCAGGAATGGATGAGCTTCCACAGGAAAAAGGAAGTGAAAGTCACTGAAGCCGATCGCATCATCTTCGAACGAGCTGACCCTTGGAAGAAAAAACGTTTTTTTGTGCGTTGAAGGCTAAGGAGGCGGCACATTGTTGGGATCAAAATTGGGGCTAACTATCAGAAACAGTCAAAATAGTGGTTTAACTCAGTTTAACCAGCTTAACTTTCAAACAAAATCGGTTTAACCATCAAAACTTGGGGTTGAGCCATCAACCATTTTGGTTTAAGATGGTGTGATCATTTGATAATTCCGAACTGGGAATGTACTATATAGATCTATATAGCCAATAGCAGCTATTAGAGTGCTAAATCAGGATTTCGTTTGGTATTCAATATTAGAGGACGGGAAGGGATTATTGTGTAATTTTCTCACATGGTGCCCGCACTTGAACGATTTTTGCCAATGATTCTGACCCATACGGGTTCACAAAATGAAGGGATCCAGCACTAAAATCTTGTGGAGGATTTCATTCTATACAATTTCCTGGGCGGCTTTGCGAATTGAGATATGGAAAAACCTTGGTCTCTTTACGGAAAGAAGTTGCACATTTGAGTCTGTCGCCTTTCTCAAACATGAAATGATTTGATCTACCAACATCAGTTTGATCTTTGTTTTTGGCATAGCAATCCATGGCTTTTTAAAAAAGGGGTTGTCTGAAAATCAAGTTCCACGAAATCCCAGAAAATTGCCAAATAAACGTGCACACCCATAACACATTAATCGGTTGCATACACCCCGTGGCCGAAGAACATGTTTGATTTCACACAGCCTTTTTGTCGAATGGAATTGTTCAATGCCCTATTTACCCATATCATATTGCTGGCCTATTCTCCCATGATATTTCATTGTATCCCCTTAATGTGCCCCGATTTTACTTATAGCCCTATCATCATCCTCATCATCCTCACTATCCTAATCATCCATTCTCATCCTCATCGTCCATCATATCCCACACGCATTGAATAGCCTCCTGTAAACTAACAGTTCGATGTGGAAAACCATGATGAATGTAGATCATGTTCGGAACGGGTTTCCCCATGGGTTTTTCGACATCTATGTTGGTTCACCCTAGGGTATATCAAAGTTCTTTTCCACCACAACGTTCGACGAGAAATTCATCGCAGGAACAGCGCAGGCAGAAGCGCGAGCTGCGCGAAGCGGCGGAGGCTGACGAAGAGGCGCTGGTGATGCCATCGCTGTTTGGCATTTTGGCATTCCAAAGTCATGGTGTTTTCAGGCATCAAACTGCTGGATTAGAACATGGAACTTCGCCAGCAAAAAACCGGTGACCTTAAGAACACTTAAGTAGCGACCATGACATTTCGATCTTCCCCCATCGGTGGGTTCTTGGGGCCAGTGATCTTTTTGGGAAATAACATGCCCTGGGGATGTGATGATTTGATTCCATGGTACAAAAACGGGGCCCCGTTGTGGGGCAACAAGAAAATTGACGGTGTTTCACTAAGCAAAGACTAAGCTGAAACTGCCTACACTTTGAGCCTGAGCTGGTTGCATCTCCCAGTCCTTGGGGTTCCCAGGTGATTCAAAACAGAAATTCGAAACCGTGGATGGGTCATTTGAGGATGGGTCAATCGGTCAATCCAGCACTTCCCCGGCCATTCTGAATATGTTGAATATCGAAGTTGACATTTTTTTCAACCTCAACTCTCTCCGTTTTTTCTTGAACTGTAAGGTCACTGTAAGGTCCGGTGTGACAATTGTGACAGGAGCCATCGCCATATGGGTATCAAGATTTCTCACTCAGATATCTCGATTTGAATACAGCCCAAGATGAAGAAGAAAACAAGAAAACATCAACTCAAGCGCCTCTGGATTTTCCCATATTTTCCCAAGATATGGGCAACTCATCCCTTTGCCAGGAAGGAGGTGGCAGCTACTTGGATTTGCCCACTTCCCTCCCTGGAACTGTAACTGACAAGGGTTCGGAGGCGCAGGAGCGGGCTTGGTTTGTTGGGTCTCTGGTTGGATTGGAGGGTGAAGATTTGGCCATTGGTCAAAACCCTAGCACCTAGTGAACCCCAAAATAGCTGGTAAATGGATGTTCATCCCCCTAAAAATGGTACTTATAGGTATTGATCCATACCCATTTAGGGATTGAACATCTTTGAAATCGTTTTAGGGTTTCTTGAGGCTTGTTCTAGCTTTGGAAATGGTTGATTTAAGGACCGTCTCATGCCAATGTCTAATGCCAATAGGTTTATTTAGGCTTGGGTTTGTTTGTTCTTTTGTTTCATGGTTTGTTTAGGAGTGTTACTTCAAAGCTCGAAACATGGGAGAATATGCTTAAGACACGGTTCAAAAGGTGATGTTGGCACCGCCTTAGGTAAGCACCAAAATCAGATGGAGTCAATCCCAATATTTTGCATGTTCTCAGTGTGGGAAACAAATATGCGCAAGCAACACAGCAGATTGCATTCCCCTATGGAATGCCATGGATATCATGCAAGCGTGAGCCCCCTAGCGACATATATATATATATACATAATTATATATGTTCACATGTAAATTGCACATGATTTCACACACTGAATGTGATGATATGTATATGTATATATATATATATACACATACATATTACTTAAATTACATATGTATCAAAATGATAGGACCGTTGAAGCAGAGGACTCCCCACAAGTTGGATGGTTCCAGAAGGTGTCTTCAAAGGTGCCTGGACATGTCCAGTGTTTGTGCCACCTCATGAACAGTATTAGCGCTTCTTTTCACATGGGAGTTTCCGAGATTTTGGGGGTAGCCGGGTAGGCCAAACCCATGGGTTTCAACGCTAAAATGATCAATGACTTGGACTTGAGGTAGCTCTATTTTAGGACCCCCAGTGAGAGGTCAACATTTTGGTCATGGGATGCCTCAGAATGACACCATCTTGGCGCCACCTGGCCAGGACAGCCGAGATACTTCGCTACCTTCACGCGGTAGTAAGACCTCAGCGGCCACAGAGAGCGGAAGCAGCGCACGCTATGCCAGGCGGATGGTGTTGGAATCCCTTGGACTTTGGGAAAGTGGTACTTTGCGACAGCGATGATCCGATGTGAAGAACTGGGGGTTATGAACTTGTCTGTTTTTGGGATCAACTGGCTCCTTATCCAAGCACAATGCTACCTGGCACTGCCTGGCAGGGTCTAAACAGAACAGAACAAGATCTTGAGGTACGAGTCGATGTCACTGAAAAAAAAAGTGCGGGAAAAACATGCACGAACTAGTCGACGTGGAGCGGGTCGCCAAAAAATTGTCCAGGAAGGAGAAAGTTGATCCTGCACTGGCGCAGTCAGTGGCTCTTCTCCACCACAACCAAGATGAATACTGTATTGTTCCAGCAAAACAAAGGAGCAGAAGAGGAAGGAGATGAATGGCAAGACTTTCCCCATAGTCTCAAGCTTGGGGATGAATGTGAAAGTAAGAAGAATTTTGAAAATGAAGACAATGTGGCAGTTGAAGAAATTGGCTGGAAACACAGCAGGAGCAAAAAGTGTAGACGAATCGGGACAAAGTAGAGGCAACAGTCAGCGAGCGGAGAAGAAGCGAAGCTAAAGCTTGTGCCAGCGCCTATCATACACATGATAAATAATATAATATATATATACATCTACATTGTACATATATATATATATGTATGTATGTATGTATGTATGTATGTATGTATGTATGTATGTATGTATGTATGTATGTATGTATGTATGTATGTATGTATGGTATGTATGTATGGTATGGTTTGGTATGTATGTATGTATGTATGTATGTATGTATGTATGTATGTATGTATGTATGTATGTATGTATGTATGTATGTATGTATGTATGTATTGTATGTATGGTATGTATGTATGGTATGTATGGTATGTATGGTATGTATGTATGGTATGTATGGTATGTATGGTATGTATGGTATGTATGGTATGTATGGTATGTATGTTATGTATGGTATGTATGGTATGTATGTTATGTATGTTATGTATGTTATGTATGTTATGTATGTTATGTATGTAATGTATGTAATGTATGTAATGTATGTAATGTATGTAATGTATGTAATGTATGTAATGTATGTAATGTATGTAATGTATGTAATGTATGTAATGTATGTAATGTATGTAATGTAGGTAATGTAGGTAATGTAGGTAATGTAGGTAATGTATGTAATGTAGGTAATGTAGGTAATGTAGGTAATGTAGGTAATGTATGTAATGTATGTAATGTATGTAATGTATGTAATGTATGTAATGTATGTAATGTATGTAATGTATGTAATGTATGTAATGTATGTAATGTATGTAATGAATGTAATGTATGTAATGTATGTAATGTATGTAATGTATGTAATGTATGTAATGTATGTAATGTATGTAATGTATGTAATGTATGAATGTAATGTAATGTAATGTAGTGTAATGTAGTGTAATGTAATGTAATGTAATGTAATGTATGTAATGTATGTAATGTATGTAATGTATGTAATGTATGTAATGTATGTAATGTATGTAATGTATGTAATGTATGTAATGTATGTAATGTATGTATGTATGTAATGTATGTATGTATGTATGTATGTATGTATGTATGTATATATATAATTACATACATGTGTATATATATATATATAATTATTCATATACGCATAGATTTCGATCGAATATATCATTCATACCCCCACAACTGAGATCCTGTCAGGAAGCAGCACCGGAAGATCTCCCGCGCCTCAGACCCGGGCGACGCCGCGCGTGGCCGGCCGCGCCCGCTGGACGACGCGGTGACAGCGTCGGATCCGCTGAGCCGCTGGAAGCATCGCCGGGAGCACAGCGACGGAGGCCGAGTTGGTGATGAAATAGTTTGTTTGAAACGAACATTGGTGCTTTATGGGTGGGGTGATGAAATTTTAGGTCATGTGTTTTGGAACAAGGACACAAAAAAGGACACCTTTTCCATTGTATTGACCAAAGATTTGGATAGGAAACCAAATGCAAAGGCATGGTGATTTGATATGTTGTTTTCAACAATGAAAAAGTACCCGCAACAAACTGGGGGTGAACAATGGGAAGGGGTAAAACGGTAAAACAAGTCTCGATCTGTCCAGGTTTTGTACGTATTATTAGCGCTGATATGGTTTGGATCAAAACCTTGCAAACTTAATCGCGCAAATCCATGTTGACCAATTGACTTCTAGTTGATAAACACGGGAGGTACCCTTTGAGATACTTTGGCAAGGATCACTGTGTTGGGGAGCAGTGATTCATGTGATTCCTATGATTCCTACATTGAGAATGAAAACTAGTAGCGGGAACTACCACTGGTAGTTGTGTGGATTTCAGCCGTTTGATAGTCCCCGAACTGGGCTAGTTGGTGGTTCGTCATATGAAACCAACACGGATTTGTCAAATTTTGGTCTGAAATAGGGTATCTACCCCCGTGGTTCCCGTGGTTTTTGTCACGTCTTGCCGAAAAAAAATGGCAGAAATTGGCGTGTCCCCAGGTTTTGGACAGAAGCCACATATCATACTACTATTACATAGTCATTTGAGTCATCTGTAACTGTATATCCGATATTTCATTGGATCCCCATGATATTCCCATGATATTCCCATGATATTCCCACGCTGAATCTTAGCGGCGTCAGGTGAAGAGGACGAGTTGCCCAGCAGTTCGCGCGGTCGTAATGGCAGAGGCATGTGGAAAATCTAGGAGAAAAACCAGAAAATCCCACATTTTTGCTGGGTGTATCAAAACCCAACATTCAACATTGCCAAGAAACAAACCCTTCAGTGGGTTCGATCTATTCATTTGGGGTCCAGTAACAGGGGTATTTCAGAAATCTTCACAAAGAGTCAAAGCCTTGCAGGTTCACCATACAAGGTGAGGAACCCCCAGTAATCAGGTGGTAAACCCATCGGCTATATCAATCATAAACCATCGTTAAAGAAGTGATTTGCAGCAACTTAGCTATTGTAAACGGGGTGCCTCACCTTGTATTAATCCCTCTCAATCCCTATGAACCCCCTATCAATCCCTATAAAACCCCTGTGAACCCTCTTAATCCCAATAAAATCCTTATCAAATCCCTATAACCCCCTATAAACCACCTTTTAATTCCAATAAATCCCTCTAAAAATCAACCTTTTCCGGCTTCCCAGCAGGCCGTCGCCACAGCGTGGGCGCCTCGCCCGAGCTGCTGGCACTGGCCTCGCCAGCAATGTCGTCCATGGGCCTTGGCCGCAGCTTTGGCCGCGCAGCGCCCGTCAGCGGGCGGGGACGAGTCACACGGGGGGTTTTTGGTGGGGAAAAATGGGGAGAAACATGGAGAAAAAAACTCAGTTTTTTTTGCCTTGTTTTCGAAGTTTTTTATTTTTTGTGCAGCTTTTGAAGGAGAAAAAGTGGGGGATAGGTTGGGATATCGTGGGGAAATCATCTAAATGCTTATGTATCACGGATTTACTTATCAAGAACAGGTAGATTGCCAGCAAAACATGGGGATTTGATGATACACTGAATCATGCACTATGGGGATTTTACTGCAAACAACAAAAAATGAAAGTTAAGCATCCAAATTAGGAAGAACTGCAAAAATGGGAGAATCTGATGGACGTAGCACCATTTAAGTGCAAGCACTGTGATCACCATGGGTGAGGACTGTCAACTTGTCGATGGCTGGATAATACTGGATGATTTAAATTTCTATCAACCAACCATATCACATCCTTTGTGCAGAAAAATCATAGGCCACACAATTTTCACAATCCATGGTGCTGGTATGCTGGTATTAAAGAATCAGTGTGGGTTTGTTTGAAAATAGGGTAGCTCCAAAATCCAATGATTTAACAGAGTCATATTTTTTTATATTCAGGTGGCAGTAAATTGGAGGTAAATTGGCATTTTTTTCACAAAACCACATGATATTGTTGATATCCAATTATCTGCATTATAGCCTCACTATTGTAGGTTTTATACCACCAGAAAGTATCATAAAATCGCCTTAAATCAGGTGCAAATCCAACACTTTTCAGAAAAAAAACACCTGATATCCCAATGAAAAAACAGCGAGGTGGAAAATCATACGTTCTTGGCTAAGTTATGCTAAGTTGGTGCATTTTTTATCGGTGAATTCTATGAAAATTCTATGGTTTATGACAGATACATCACTGCAGCATTCGACAGGCCTTGGGAGGCCTCGATTCACGAGCGTGGCTCCACTCGAGCCAGCCAGTACAAGTCAGGTGGCCCAGGTGGCCCAGGTTTCATCGTTTCAGAACGGGGCGCCCAGTTGTGTGAGGGATTCTGTTAATATTAAATAATACATAACATAACAATCAGTATATATATATATATATATGTATATATATGTATATATATATGTATATATATATATATATGTATATATATATATACATAATATATACACAGATACGTTAATTTGCAAAATTTGGCTGCATCCGGCTGCATCCCCATCTTCGTTTTTTTTCAGCGGTAGAACCAATCCACATTTTTATCATAGTTTCATTGTCCTTTGGGGATTTTTGTAGTCGTATTTTCTGCAGGTTTCACCATTCAACTGATTTCCATTCAACCGATTTTTTGGTTTGATGAATTTCCAAACATATGATGTGGATTTCTCTGCGTAACGGTTACTACGCAATCGCAGATTCAGAAACTCTGTTCTTAATGGAGGCTTATCCCCACAACAACGTGTTCTAACTTGCGTTCTAAAGCTTGGAATCAGCCGTTAAATAACTTGTTAAATCACGTTTTTTCTGTTCCCATCAATGATTACCCTCTGGTAATTTAACATAGCTATTGAAAATTGCCATTCATAGTGGATTTACCCATTAAACATGGTGATTTTCCATAGTTATGTTAAATTACCAGAGGGTACCCACAACTATTGGAAGCCCACGATTATTACAAGGTGAGGCCCCCAGACGATATGCTGGTGCTGAGGCTACGCTTCTTGCCTGACCATCGCGTGGCCGGTAGCACTGAAGGTGCTGATGGCACTGCACAGATTTCAGGGTACCTTGGTTTTCGGACATGGTGGCCGAAAATCTCCCTGATATCTCAGGAAGATATTTTAGAAATAAACATACAAGGTGGTGCCCCCAGTCGATAGCGTTCAGTTGGTGCAAATAACTCCAATGTCACTATGGTTTATGGTACGCAAATAACTATAGTTAATGGGGTTTATAAACCAACTTATAACTGGGGGGCCCCACCTTGTATCTGGATATAAATTATAACCTCACCTAAAAACCTCACTGGAATAATGGTTAAGGGGAATTATCCCAAGGTAAAAAGCCTTATTTCAGGTTCGCGAATTACATCGAATTACTATCATTTACCCATAATAAAAATATATATATATATATATATGATATAATATATGTATAGTACCCCCCTGAAAGATGGAACTGTCATTTATCAATAGAATTTCGGTGGGATTTTCTCTTCTATCTTTTTGGGGTTACTGAATATATGTATGTATATTATATATACTGTGTATATATATATATATATCTATATATGTATGTACAGATATATATATAGATTAATACTAGTATGTTTTTGAAATTAAACCCAGCTTAGTACGAAGTCATCCCAATTTTGTTGATAGGGATTTCACTATAAATACATAATGGGATTTATCATAAACACTGGGATGATTTCTACGAAATTGCGATGCTTTCCTACTTGGATCTCTTCATTTTGGCCAGGTTCTTTTACAGCGAGGAGCCAATGGATCTAGCGTGACCGAGCTTGTCTGAATATCTTCCACCAGTCTATGGCATCTTTTAATGGGGAAAATGAGGTTGTTGAATGCCATGGGATTTTCCATGATCCCATTCTCAACCGGCAGCTGGGGATCTAGGGTTTCCGCAACATTTTTTCCGTACCACCTGGTAATCAAACAAGGCAGTAAAGAAATCCCCGATTAGTTGCATGATTTTTCAATGTAAATGCTCATTGAGTTTGGGGGTTCCCAGCTAGCCATGTTTGATGACATCGGAGGGTGACCATCATTAAGCATTATAAACCACTATAAATTAGACTATAAACCATCATTATACACCACAATTTTACCAGGGTTTCCTCTAAAATGTCTCAATAAATCAACCAAAGCAAGCCTTTGAGACCATACGTAAATTAATATGTGGGGTAATTTTTTGCGGGGTTTCCTCTAATTTTTTCGCCTTTCACATCGTTCTCCAAGCACCAGGTCCTTCAACCCTGACAACCATCGGGTCATTTGGACGGAAGCTCATCCTTGGGGCTCTGTTCAGGTCACAGGCGATCCGACCTGGAGATCTTGGTACCAATTGGAAGTTCTTTTTGAGGATTGCCAAGAATGGTAAGTTCATTAAATGAAATATGTATGTACAATGTATGTCGATATATATATATAACTATCTATCAGTCTGTCTATATGTTCTATCTATCTAACTATCTAGCAATCTAGCTGACCAACTTTTTTTCAGTCCAAGATTGAAATCCAGGCTTGGCCATATTCCCAGTGATGGGGGCAAGTCAACTTTGATCACGTGGAGGATGCAACAAAAATGGGCATCTAAGCGCGAAGAAAAGATAGGGATACCCCCCCAGTAAACTGACATAGCTATGGACCATGGCCCAATCATTTAGTTCGATGATTTTTTCGATGATTTCCGATGATTTTGATGATTTACGATGATTGACCTATTCAGAAGGTGGTTTCCCATGGCTTTTTGTATACCGGAGGGTATATGACGTACATCATCTCCTTTGTGCTCAGAAGTATCATGATGGATCCTGAAGCCGGCTGAATTTTGGGGTCTTCCTCCCCCTGCATAGCCATCATTGCTGGTCATATCCCTTGTTTTGTTGGTAACATCTCTGGAAATGTTGTCAGTCAGATCCTGCAATAATAATGCAATCTCCAATTTTGCTGATCATTTCTTGTTGGTTTTCCAAGCACATGATTTGCTGTTTTTCTTCGTTGAATCACCAACTTTTGTTGGATTTCACCCACAAAATTGTTGTAGCTCAGTACCCCAATTTGTTGCTGGTTGAAATCCCACGTCAAAAGGGATTTGGATTTGGTTAACTCACGATTTTTGGATGGTAGCATCTGGATGTTTCCGACATATGGAGGTACCCTCTGGTAATTTAACATAGCTATAGAAAATCACCATTTTTAATGGGAAAATCCACTATAAATGGCCATTTTCAATAGCTATGTTAAATTACCAGAGGGTACACCCAAATCATCCAACATGAGGCCTTGTGAAAAATGGAAAACCCATGGTGACACTTTTGGAATCCCCAATTTTTCTATGGCATCTCGAAAGGCCATGTCTTCTACAAGGCCAGGGCGGTGCGTGGAGTTGATAAGGCTCCAAACTCATCATAGGTATTACCCTCTGGTTATGACTAACATAGCCATGGTATAGATGGCCCATAGAAATAGATGGTTTACCTATTTAAAATGGTGATTTTCTATGGCTATGTTAAATAACAAGATGGTAATAAACTATATAAATATATACACATGATATTTGCAGACAAGATTATATATTTGTACATACAATATTCATGCATACAATATTTATAATGTCAACCCCGGATTAATAAACCATAGTTTGTTAATTAGGGGGGTACTTCCCCAATAGTCATAATCTGATACTTAAAATGATACCACCCTAATTAAACAGCCTACGGTTTTTTTTCCAGGGTTGACATTACATACAATATTTATACTACAATATTAAATTAATTATTTGATTGCTTAATCAATTAATTAATTAGTTAATTCATTAATTAACTAATTAAGTAACTAATTGATTAACCAAACACATACTACACTATTTGATTCATACATGCATTGCGCATGTACGTACATGTCTATTTAGAATTTTCTGTACATATGCATATATATATACATATTTAGAGACATACACACACATATATCTATATATATATATGTATATGCCTACGGCAGGAAAACCGTACGTGCGTTTTGCTTCTTTTTGAGTATTGCTCTTTGTCTTGGGGTTGGGGTGGGGTGGGGTGGGGGGGCATGTTAACGTTCCTCGTACTTCGTACAGGATATATTGCCGTGTTAGTGTGGGTTGGGGTTGGGGTGGGGTGGGGTGGGGGGGCATGTTAACGTTCCTCGTACTTCGTACAGGATATATTGCGATGTTGCTAAGATCTCTGGGATCCTTTACTACGTTACATGTTGCTACGCTGCTGGTATCTCTGAGATAGTTTCCTACGTTACATGTTGCTACGCTGCTGAGATCCTTGGGACTTTCTTACTACGTGACATGTTGCTACGCTGCTGAGGTCTCTGGGATCTTTTACTACGTTACAGGTTGCTACGCTGCTGAGATCTCTGGGATCTTTTACTACGTTACAGGTTGCTACGCTGCTGAGATCTGTGGGATCGCTTACTACGTTACATGTTGCTACGCTGCTGAGATCTCTGGGATCGTTTACTACGTTACATGTTGCTACGCTGCTGAGATCTCTGGGATCGTTTACTACGTGACATGTTGCTACGCTGCTGAGATCTCTGGGATCGTTTACTACGTGACATGCTGCTACGCTCCTGAGATCCCTGGGATGGTTTACTACGTTACATAGCTACGCTGCTGAGATCTCTGGGAGAGTTTACTACGTGACATGCTGCTACGCTGCTGAGATCTCTGGGATCGTTTACTACGTTACATGTTGCTACGCTGCTGAGATCTCTGGGATCGTTTACTACGTGACATGTTGCTACGCTGCTGAGATCTCTGGGATCGTTTACTACGTTACATGTTGCTACGCTGCTGGCAGTGGCGTTATGAGTGCCATAATGGCAACTTGCTGTCGAAGACAGCTTCCACACTGATGGATCGCTGAGCCGACGAAGAGTGTGAAAAAAAATCTGCGCATCCACGTCTGATGCACATGATGTTTACCTGGATTTGTTAAAAATCAATAGATTTTGCATCCACTTTTTTTAACCCAAATTCAGTTATCCAAACTGATCGGAAGAGCATTTTATATTGTAAATTACAGGTGATTGTGACTCTCCTGGAAACAACCAATCAAAACGCTCGCGCGGTTTCCCTTCCGCCGGGATGTATATGAATATATATGTTTATTGGAGACATATATTCATGTCGCTCCGCGACAAACACCACCGGCACAAAGGACCTGGATGTGAGGCATTCAGGTGTCGACTTCAAACCGTTTTGTCTCGTACATGGGCATGGGCTGCGTATGTTTGCTTTCATTGCCTTTCTTGGAGGTTTAGTTTTTTTTTTTTAGATTATGAAAAAAATGTTAGAATAGAGCATCGAGAGATCGATGAATGGATGGTTGGATATATATATATTCACAGTTTTACTTTGAATATATATATATATATTTAATGTTTATGTGTATATATATATATAATGTATATATATAATGTATATATATATATATATGGAATATATATATATATATACATGCAATGCATATATATAATGTATAAATATATTTATATAATGTTTATATATTTATAATGTAGATGTATTTATAATGTATATATATAATGTATACAAATATCATATATAAAATGTATATATATATATATCATATATATATATATATATCATGTATATATATATAATATGTATATATATATATATATAGTGTAATCATGATATGTAATAATATGTATATATATATATTATATTTGTTTGTCTATTTATTCATTTATTTATTCATTTATTTATTTATTTATTTTAATTATTATTTATTTTTTTGTTCAAATTTATTTATTATTATTTTTAAATGCATATATATATATACATATGCATATTTATATGCGTCTATGTGTCCAAACAAGCAGTTGAAAAACACATGGAGAGATCAAATTTCCAGGAAATTTAGACACCTACACCTGTCCATTCATACCTTTGTTTTTTCGTCATCGTACCTAGTATGGCTAGTTGTTTTGGCGTACTTTCAAATCAACTATGTATGCTTAGTTTAGCGGTGAACATATATTTCTACCGTCGCTATTATGTGTAGGTTTCTTGTTCATCGTGCCATAGATACCCGATAAAATGGTTGGAACACTACATAGATATGCAGTCATTCAATTTCATGGAGTAGGTGTATTCAATTATATCATGAATCCCACCCCGCAATATTACATATCCACACTGGATTCAGTGGTGCCCTCTGGTTTCATGTTTGATCTCTTTATAAATCGGGGTCCCGTACTCGTCTAGGGGTATTGAATTTATTGGGGAAAGGACTGCCAAACACCTATGTCCCAGAATTGGTCGGATGGAAAACTGTTTGTCTGAGGGTCGTGTCAGTATTTTTTCCAATTACATGAATCCATTGACTATAGCCAGTGTTTTTGGGGTATCGTAATCATCAACCAAATCCCAGCATATCTACCAGGTGGTTAGGATATCCATATTCCCTACTAAATTTGCAGCCAAGGAAATATTCAAAGTTTCCCAACCGCGTGACAAGTATTCATGAGTATCCATTAACATCCACTATTGCTATGCGTTGTTAATATACATTGCGAACATCTATTGTGAATATCCATTGTTGTTATCCAAAATCAGTATCCAAAAACAATACCCATTGTTATTTTAATATCCCAAGTTGATATTCATTGGTGATATCCAAAAATAATATCTAAAATTAATATCCCAAATTGATACCAGCTGTTAAATAATATCCAAATTGATATTCATTGTGGATCTCCAACATTAATATCCCCAAATAATATCCAACCATATCAATGAATACCCATATGGAGGTTTCCTAAGTCATGGGGACATCCCCAACTCATCCATTTTTTGGGATTTCCCTTTCTAAACCATCCAGCTATTGGGGCACCTTAATTTCAGGAACCCCCATATCTGTGAATCTACCTTCTGTTTATTTAACAGTTCGTTCTGGAAACCATGGCCCGTTGAAAATAGATGATGAATATGGCGATTTCCTTAGCTATAAAATGGTGGTTTTCCAGTTTGCAAACCGTAAAATAACCCGAGGGAAAATATCACTTCACCATCAATTTCATTGTATTAACCATATATATATATATATATGGGTCAAACCACTGTTTTTCAATGTAAATATCACTTAAAACACTCTTTTGGTAGGTTCTATGGGGGGGTGAGCATATATATATATATAAAGCAAATATTATATTAACCATATATTAGCCATATATTAATCACTACGAATCCCCAATGTTTGGTGGTCAAATAACCCGAATCTCCAGGCGCATGTGGCGCAGATCAGCGGCACCTTCGTAGCCACAGATGGCGGCAGGGGCAAGATGGATCTCTGTCCCGGCTGAGGCGTTGCGGCGCAGCATGGGAGTGGATGTACAGCGGCACGAATGGCGAAAATGGCGAAATGGCGAAATGGGGATTTCATTGGGATTTACCTGGCATGTAACTGGGATTTAAGATTTTATGGGATTTTAATGGGATTTTAATGGGATTTCATGGGATTTTAATGGGAGTTAGTAGGATTTAATGGCACGTACCCTCTTGTGATTTAAGGGTGTGCGAACTTGAAAACCACAATTTAAACAAGATCCAGCCCACGAGTCACGTAGAATACTTTTGTGAATCAAATTATTTGAGCAGTCTTGTACATTTTCCCCCTGTTACCGTACCAGTGCATTGTACACTGTGGAATGTGAAAGAGGGTGAAGTGCAAAGTGTGGAGTGTGGAGTGTAAAGTGTAGAGTGTGGAGAGTGGAGTGTAGAGTATGGAGTGTGGAGTGTAGAGCGTAGAGTGTGGAGTGTAAAGTGTGGAGTGTAAATTGTAGCGTTTAGAGTGTAGAGTGCGGAGTGTGGAGTGTAAAGTGTGGAGTGTAAAGTGTGGAGTGTGGAGTGTAAATTGCAGAGTGTGGAGTGTGCAGTGTAGAGTGTGGAGTGTAGAGTGTGGAGTGTAAATTGTAAAGTGTGGAGTGTAAAGTGTAAAACGTAAAGTGTGGAGTGTGAAGTGTGGAATGTAAAGTGTAAAGTGTGGAGTGTGGAGTGTGAAGTGTGGAATGTAAAGTGTAAAGTGTGGAGTGTGGAGTGTGGAGTGTAAAGTGTGGAGTGTAAAAGTGTGGAGTGTGGAGTGTAAATTGCAGAGTGTGGAGTGTAGAGTGTGGAGTGTAAAGTGTGGAGTGTAAAGTGTACAGTGTGGAGTGCGGAGTGTAAATTGTAACCTGTAAAGTGTGGAGTGCAGAGTCTAGAGTGTGGAGTTTAGAGTGCGGAGTGGAGTGTGGAGTGTGAAGTGCGGAGTGTGGAGTGTAGAGTGTGGAGTGTGAAGTGCGGAGTGTGGAGTGTAGAGTGTGGAGTGTAGAGTGTGGAGTGTCATTGCATGTCACAACATGTCACGCCTGCCACTGCTTTGCACATTGTGACCACTGCTTTGATACCTTCGAAAAGGAAAGGTTTTGGAGCTTCCCCGATAGACACGGGGACGGCAGAAGAAAACGGGAGACTCGAGACGAGACATGTTGGAGCCTCAAAACGAGCATTTCGTGCGAGGATTCCTCAAAATGTCACACTTCGTAGCTTCAAAATCGATGTTTTCCTACGAGTTTTCCTTAGAACATGAAACTTTGCAACCTCAAAATCGATGTTTTGTGCGAGGCTTCCGTCAATTTTCAGCACATCTCACAAAATGCCGCGCCTGCCACGGAATTTTTCACCTTGTCACCACTTCACGCAGCCCTGACAATGCGATTCGCAAAAACCAAGCAACACGACTCCTCTAAAGTGTTGCGCTTGCCACGAAAAATGGAACTCATCTTCTGAAAACGTCGCAACAGTATTGCGCCTGCCACTCAAAAGGGCTTTCCACACGTTACGAAACACGTCTGAATTTCACGAAGTGCCACACCTGTCACGCGAAAGCAACGCGACGTTTGAAACCTCCAAAAGTGACCCCTTTTGCAGAACTTACCATAGGCACGGCCATACGGCCTCACACGGACGGTTGCGGACGGCTGCGGACGGTTGCGGTCGTAAACGCAATGTCGAGTGAACACACCCTCAGCCCTCAACCCCCAGACCCCCAGAGTGAAACGGGAACCCTTGCTACGCAGTCGGGAAAAAACGGTAAATATGGCAAATCGGCATGTTAATCATCTATTTCTATGGGCCATTTTCCAGAGCCATGTTCAAGAACCAGAGCGTATAACCTACAAAACTGTTACAACAACCAAACATTTTCTGGTGACATTTCATGGGATATCCACCATGGGGATACAACTAACCATTTTTGCGGGATGTTGTGGTAATGTTGCCTAATGGGGATCTTTTCATGGGATATCTTAATGACACATAGTGGGATATATATATAATATACACATATGTTTGACAATGATTTGATATATTGGGCATGTAACCCCAAAATGGGATGAAAACCAGTCAAACCAACCATGTTATGGTGTTATTTCATGGATACGATGGGATGTCTATAACCAACACTATTATATTTGGATGTGTCTGGCCACGGGCAATTAATAACCAAATTATCCCAATTTTGATGGGGAAAACGATGATGAACTGTGCTCTAGTTTCAGACAAAACCATGTATGTACCACTGAAAAGAGAAGTTGCCTTGAAGGTACAAACATATCTGCTCCAACTGGATGCCTGGTAAATTCATGTAAATTCGCCGGAAAAAAACCAACATGAAATTTGATTTTACGTTTGGGATTATTGCAATTTGCCCAAGATAACATTGTTGGGTTGGGACTCACAAACTTCTACGAGGGGTTCACGAATCTATATATCAATCAATATATCTACCATAAACTTAACATTAATTATATGTATAATACCAATAACTATAGTTATAGTGATGTATATTACCATAGTTCACCTAGGCAGTCTTTTCACCGTGGGACAAAACGGGGGGATTGGGACGCAAGACGTGTTTGGGTACCTGGTGTCTGAAAATGGGACCCCAAAATGGGCATTTTGAGATTCATGTTAATAGGATGAGATGTCTATAACGATATTGTTCTTAGTGTTATTAGTATTATTGTTGTCGTTATTGTATTATTATCTACTGTATTTAACTTGAATGCTAGTATGTACAAAGGTGTAGCACACGTATTTTATAGCACGTGTTTGTCTATGAATAACAATAGTATGTATGTATTTATCAATATTGTCATTATTGTTATTATTATTGTTGTTCATCATTATTATGTTCACTAGTATTACACATTCATTCTTATAGTATGTATATGTTATGTAGTGAAGGTCTATAATTTTCACTTCTGTGAAACAGAAACAAATGATGACAATTCGCTTGCCACCTGATCCTTGGGGGTATGGGTACCATTTTTGTGGCAAATCACAACTATTTGGGGGACCTGATGACCTGATGATGAACCAGGGTTTATTTATCCGGGGCTGACATGCCATGGCATGGACGACTGGAATCTTAATTCATCAACCAGAACCTGCTTAATAAAGTGGCGGGTTTGCTGCCCAGAATTCCCAAGTGAGTTAGAGATTTGTGAATCTGTCGTCTGGGCTGTCTGAAGCAACGAGAAACTCTGCGAAGTCATGCGAAGTTGTCTCTAAGAGCCGGAACCCTTCTCCCATGCGTTCTCAACCAACACCTCTGTTCTAACCATGGCAGGTTGCACCTGAAAGTGCTGGGCACTGACGAGTTTCCGGGCTGACCGCGTGATCGCATGTTCGACTGGTCAACGGTGGGTGTCAAGCTCGGTCGGCACCCTGCTGTCAGATGCCAGCAGAGGGCGCTCCAAAAGGAGGCTTCAGCTATTTTTAAGGGGCCAACTGTGCCAACTTCCTTGGTCTAAGCAGAGGTTGATCTCGTTGTATGCGGAAACTGAAAACACGTGATGCGATCGACCTCTGGATGTATTCAAGCAGCCACCAGCGCTGACTTTGTACAGCGATGCCGGTATTATTTTTGGGCTCGCCGATCGACTCGAGGAATTTGAAGAACGGCCCAATAAAACCTCAAAACACACAGTGCACGCTACATTTTCTGGGGTCATCGGTTCAACCAGCCCGTGGGATTTGCCTTTAGCAAGTTCCTTGCAGCGCCGACGTGCCGCAAGACTGCATTTTGGACGTACGTTTTTCTCTTGAGGAAACACAGAAAATACAAAAACATGAGATGGCTTTTGAATGGAATGCAGGAACTTCGAGAATTTGATAGAATTTGTAGGATTGGACAAAAAAGACACCTTTGGGTCTTGGCTGAAGTCCCTTTTCGGCATCGCACGTCGTTTTCTTTGAATTTATTGGGTGGACCAGCGGTGACTAGAACGATGTTGAGCCCTGACACAGTGACTGAGATTCAGAACCTAAATTCATGGCCAAAAGTGAAGTCTTGGAGACTTTCCCATGTCCAAATATTTGGCATCCATATATATATACACATATATATAATTATATATAATATCATATATATATATATGTTTAACTTCATGATTTTTGACTTGGCCGCAACCCGCAGCAACCCTTCCAAGGTGCGGTCTTCCGAAATCATTTAAGTTGTACAGATTGCTACGCTAGGCACGGTCCGGCCCGAGCTGGATGCGGATGCAGGACTTGGAAGCGTGCCATACACCGTGCCGTATCTTTATCCATTTTTTGCAATGATAAGCCCTATATTTTTGTGTGTCTGGAAACTGGGTATACCATGGTATACCCAAAAATGGATAAAACAACCCATAAAGTGGCGATTTTAGAGAACATGATGATGAACTATCAGATTTTCAGGTACCCGATTTGCTGATGGGCTTCCATGGGAATGCCATGGGGATTTGCTGATGGGGTTCCAAAGGATATGGTTCGTGATTTTTCTGAACCGACATTAATAGATAATATGAAACGTGCATATATATATATGTATGTATGTATACGCACCTGTATATAAGATAAGTATATAATACTATATATACAGTTATATACATATGCATCTATGCACTGGAAGCCAGATGGTCTTCCCTGTGTCATTCCCGGCGTTTTCTTTTTCAGCATGACTTCCCGGAAAGGTGCCCTAAGGCTGCGGGGCCGCAGCACCATCTCACCGGCTTAGCCGGAAGGATGTTTCGCAGAGGAAAAAGCCGTGGCAGCCCCCCTGGGCAGCCCGGAAAATCGTCGGAATCCCGAAGCCAGGGTTTTCCTGCCGTGCTTCCACGAAGTATGGACTCTGGACATCATAGGTGAACAGGGATCTTCCAGAGATAGACAGTTAGACAGTTGGGATTTATTCAATCACAGATGAAATCCGCTGAGATCAATCTCCTTTGAGAGATCAATTTTCATATTCAATCACTGATCACTAATCAATCAGTTGGTGAATATTCAATCACTGATCACTAATGAATCACTAACCAAAGGATCAAATATTGATCAAATCTCCTTTGCTTCGACCCGAATTTTGGTAACCGTGGGGTTTCGCAGGTTGGTGCTTCCGCTGGCCCGGCGCTCAGAAATTGGAGAAGTCCACGCCTCCAAGGCCATTGCCTGCTGGGAATTTGAGTGGTCAAAAACTGGAACTATGGCTTTTGATAAAAGCATCTTATATGTTGGTAAATTGGGCATTTTTAACAGAATTTCAGAAAATTTTGCCATTTTTTTCGATATTTGGGTATGGGTCAATACCTATTAATACCATTTTTAGGGGGATGAACATCCATTTACCAGCTATTTTGATGTTCACCAGGGGTACAAGGTTTTGACACACTGCCATATTTCATGAACTTGAGCACCTGTCGTTTCGAGAATGCATCACATAGCGATGGTGCTGAAATCTGATCCTCATTTAGTTCGTTGATTTTCCCAGCTAGAAAATGGTGGATCTTTCCATAGTTATGTAAACGTTTACCAGAGGGTATGAGAAGCAAAATTTGGGGGATATTTCTGACCAACAAGGGTTGTGACCAACACAATATGGAGATGACCAGCAACCAGTGTGGGATTGAACTGACAAAAGGGTATGATCAAACATTACAATAAGATTCAATAAGACATATTTTTGGACTACAAACCTCACTGATGATGTTCCCCCCCCCGGTTTTTTTTTGAATTGCCCGAAAAGATGTGAAGAAAAAGGGACATTTGGAACAGCTGGACATTGTCTAGACCTCACTTTGCTCATCGGGTTGGTGAGTCTCGACTCAGAGATATGCCCAAATTTCACCCTGTGAACCCCCGGTTCAGGAAGGGCCTCACACTGGTTACTGTATAAGTGAGTAACAGTCAATTCAACTCCTATTCAACGTATATAGTCGTACCTCCTTCACCCTTTTAGTACTAAGCTGGAGCTAAGCTGGAACCGGAGAATTCTGCAATTTGGCATCTGATTTTTTAAACCTTGGCGAAGAGATCTGCTACAGCAGCCATGGGCATTGTGGATTACCACCGGCTTAGTGATTACAATCATGTGCCCTGCTACATACAATCGGGATCCATAACTCCAGTTCTGGGCTTCTCATTCCACTACTGTACTTGGTATGGGCCTATCGTTGCATCATGGTAGCCATGGATATATAATGATATATATATATATACACATACACATCCAGCATGTATATGGCTTATGGATCCATGGCTGGGCTTGTTTAGCCACTGATTCCGGGTCAAGTTTCAGAACTGCTCCTGTCCCCACTTTGTTTGTCCTTACATTCGAGGGCCCAGTTATCTGTGATCCAGATTAGGTACCTGATATACCCTCTGGTAAACTAACAGTTTGCTATTGAAAATGGCCACAGAAATAGTTGATCTACCCATTCAACATGGCGGATCTTTCAATAGTTTTTTGTTAACGTTTACCAGGTCGGGTATCCTTTCCAACCATTGTGAGTCCATCAGGGAACTTTGGTTTCCATCCAGAAGGTGAACATCTTTCATGGTTGAGAATCATATCCCCCATGAAAGAAATGCAATGTCATAAAACATCCATATTTTTATGGCTTCTACAACCGATTTAGTAATTTTTGTCGGATGGTTAACTATTGCTTTACCAACTCAGCAGGCGAGTAGAATTGCCATCGGAGGAGATGGAGGCGTGGGACTTGGAGGAATGGCCAGAGATTTTTCAAGGTTCGACATGATTTTTTTGTACGGGTACCCCGAAAAAAAAGATTTACTTAGCGAAGATGTATTTTTGCAGGGCAAGACTAGTCATGAGTTGGTTTTCGGGGAAAGCTTACAGGGACCGACTATGTTTGATGGAACGAACCCCAGAGGTTTCTTCTCAAATTTCTATGGAAATTCCATCATTCATATTTGCGTTTCACTAACATATTTGATTTCACAAGAAAACATTACCAACATTAGATTGAAACCGCAACAATCCGCAAGACGGAGGAATCTAACCAGAGAAAAACAAGCGAATATTGGACCTAAGCAGAAAAGCAGCAGCAACCGCAAGTTCACCCTCAACATTCAGGAAACCATCTAGTTTGTCCAGTTGACGATGAGTACTCAGTGACACCAATTGGGTGGGCACAGATACAGAATGGTAAAGATTACGATCAATGGATGGAAATGAATGTTATGTCATGTTCGCACGCTTCTTGCTACTACAAAGGTCGATTGATAACCCGTAACCAGCCGGGAAGATGATTGGCATGAGGGGATTCGTTTTTTTTCAAACCTGGCTCTGGAACGGTCGAACTTCAGCATCAAGTAATGACCCCTTTGATTTCCTGGGGACTGAAGAGAAACCAACAAAAAACTTGACCTTTATGACTTGTTCACCGCATTCTTGCACACGAACAAAGGATTGGAAGATCCTATATTTCACGCAAAGCGCGGCCCCCTCAATAGCCAAGTTGGTGGGTTTATAACTCCAATTTCACTATATATTATTTCTTATCTAGTTGGTGGTTTCAAACATTTAAATTTTATTTTCCATTTCATATATGGGATGCCATCCTTCCCATTGACGAACTCATATTTTTCAAGATGGTTAAAACATGTTAAAACCACCAACCAGTTAGACTTAACTTACAACTACATCATATTCCTTGGGGGCCTTGGGGGTTTTATTCGCCAACATCGCCTTCTTCACTGGGACGGCCAAACAAAACAGCCGACGCTCCAATAACGCTCCGCTTGTAGGCCATTCTGAGACGACTCAGGGCCTAAGTCTCGGTGGATCCAGACATCAAATTCATACATATATATATATATATCTACATATATATACACATATATATATATGTACACTATAGTGATTATATACTAGGGGTTACTAGGGATTAGTGTTTTTCATAGGGATTTATAGTGATTTTCATAGGGATTAATAGTGTTTTTCATAGGGATTGATAGTGATTTTGATTGAACCATAGTTCTGAATACTAAAAATGGTCTGATGATGGGAGTTGTACTTGGGAATCAATCCCATAGCTGGCCGCATTATAACAGCTATTTTCAGATTAGTGAAGTATAATTCAGCCATATGGTTTACTGTAATCCCTTGATATTTGTTGGTAATTTTATTCGCCCATCTCCCGCAAGTTTTTGCAGGGCCCTATTCAGCGATTTTAGTGAACCCAGCGTGTTTTTTGAATGAACTTGTCGTGGTAGCAGACCAATTTTGTTACAGTAAATGACGTCCTTTTTCTGAAGGTAACATTATTTTCGTTGGTGAACTTTTTTGTGTTTAACCTTGGGTTTTGTTCTGACCACAAATTTGGTTGTAATTGGACCATCTTTTCTGTTGATTAGCCTCCAGCAAATTAAGAGTTCGACCCTGAAAATCGTCCATTTTAAGTGGTTGAAACCATGGTTTTCACTCATCTTCCAAGCCCCTATCTGCCCTATCTGGCACACAGTGTCAATTGGAGGCTAGTTCCAAAACAGAGCCTTCTGGGTAATGCTTTTGAAATCAGCAATTTCTCGGTAAATTGCTCTAGCATTGTTGCAGAAAAATCCTCGTCTAGTTCAGTAAATATGGAACCCCATTCCATACACTGGTTAATCTTCGCTCCCCCACAATTTCATTGCAATTTATTACGGGGTATGCTGTTTTTTTTCTTCCCATTTTCATACACACAAATCATGGTATGAGTGGATATCCCGTTGTGTTTCACTTTATCCCCATACAATGGTTGGTTCTAAACCCCATATATATATACATACATTATTATTATTATTATCATCATCATCATTATTATTACTATTATCATTATTATTATTATTGTTATTATTATTATTATAATTTATTATATATATATATATAAATTTAGTGGTTATATTCTAGGGGTTACTAGGGATTCATCGTGTTTTTCCACAGGTTTTATCCCCATGAAATCTGGCTCGGCCACTGAGGCCATGTCTGCGGAGGAGCGGCGTGGTGCGCTGGCCGCGATGCCAGAGGTGCGCCTTGGGCAATCGATGGGGCGCCCTTGATCGGGCAATGGTGGGAGTTTGGAAAATTGGTGATTAATGGTTGATTAATGGTTGATTAATGGTTACTATTGGTTCTTAATGGTGATATTGATGATGATATTGATGGCGATGGTTGGATGGTTGATATTTTCATGGTAGAATGATTTGGGATTAAATAGCCACAACATTTTCTGGGCATCTTATGTTGCGACCGTCCTGGTGACGCCCTGGAATTCGGATGGAGATGAATTGAAGAGGCTGATGGAAGTGAATGGAATTTGATGGATGTCCAGGGATGAAATAACGGATGTGAAGAGTGGATATTGATACCATCTGGTTATGACTAGCCATGGAAAATCACCCATAGAAATAGAAGATGGTTTAACCTAGCTAAAATAACGGCATGGTGGATCTTTCCATGGCGTTTTTTTTAGTCATAACCAGAGGGTAATGAATATGAGTTCACATGGATATTTGTGGATGCTGATCATTGAGATTCATTGATAACCAGAGGGATACCCTCTGGTAAACTAACAGTTTGCTATGGAAAATCACCATTTTTCATAGGTAAATCAACTATAAATGGGCCATTTTCAATAGCTATGTTAGTCATTACCAGAGGGATATCTTGGGATTTGGGGATGAAGAAACAAATGGGGATCATACTGGGATCAATGATGAAATTTATCAAGCAAGTTATGGGGTTTGGAACCAACCATTGTATGGGGATAAAGTGGAACACAACGGGATATCCACTCATACCATGATTTGTGGTGTGTATGAAAATGGGGCATACCGGCATACCATGGCATACCCCCCCAAAATTGCAAAATCTTATTAGGGAAGCGAAAACTAACTAGTGGATGGAATGGGGTACCATACTAGCTGACAAACCTAGACAAGGATATTTAGCAACAATGCTATAGCAATTCAACAAGCACATTGATTTCAAAAGCAAACCAGGGGGCTCTAATGGGATTACCCTCTGGTGAATCGACATAGACCCTGCCAGATAGGGGTTGAAAGATTAGTTTCCACTAAAAATTGGTTATTACCGGAGGGTAACTGCATCTGGGTATGGTTTAAAATTACAAGGACTACTTGATCACCACACACGACTTGAGTTTGTGTGGGTCCATCCATGGTTGCCATCACAATCACAGCGCACCTTTCTGTTTGGCTAAACCTCTCAAACATGGGGTAGAAATGGATCCGCAAAAGTGGTCATTTTTGTATTTACCCTCTGGTACATAGACCCTGAAAATGGCTTAGTTTTAATGGAAACTAATCTTCCAACCCCTATCTGCCAGGGTCTATGTTGATTTACCAGAGGGTAACTATGCACCGATAGCACTACTATTCGTCAATACACTACCGATATTGTTATTATCATCATTCTTAGTATGATAATTCATAAAGGCTACTGGGCTACTAGTGCTATTTCCGTTTTGATTCTTGCAGCTCTACTTCTTCTTACTAGCAAGATTGTGACAAGAAAGGATCGGGATAAAACAGGCTCATGGGAGGCAAAATCTATCCGCAAAGGGGAAGTTGGTTTTGTCTTTTTATTTCCTCATATGGCAGTGTGTCAAAACCTTGTACCCCTGGTGAACATCAAAATAGCTGGTAAATGGATGTTCATTCCCCTAAAAATGGTATTAATAGGTATCGATCCATAGCCATATGGGGTTGTCTAATTTTTTTTTGTACCACCAAATTTGATTTTTTATGATCATTTTCCCTCTTACAGTGTCATCTTGTGGGTATCCCCATATTGTCAGACACACCACAATTTTTTCCATATTTCTTCCCCTCGGTTTGGGAGGACTTAGGACGTGTGTGACTGGATGCCAGGGAACTCGAAAGGAGCTCATGCGACATTTGAAGCAGGAGGTGGGAGAGCCCTGCAGCCTTTGGAACATGAAAAACGGTGGAGCCGTTGCGGCTACTGAACATGGTGCCTATTGTGAAGAAAAATCGATTGAACATCAAGATGGATTTTAGAAACATCATGTATGTAATTATGCAATGCATAATTTGACCACCATTCCGCATTCATCACCGAAAATGGGAGACAAGAACTCAAGACTCTCAACCTCTGGAAATTCAAGAAAAACAGGAAGCTCCGATCTACAATGGTAGAGTTTCACTATGTAAATTTAAAACAAGGGGGATCTCCGATTCCCCAGGCAGGTGGCAGCCGCTTAAGACAGCTGCTGTCCCATCTTCCGTAGCACAGCTTAGATTGTCGTGGGTTGGGTCATGGCGGGTGAATTCGAAATAGTTCATGATAGGTACCCGCTGGCTTTTAACCATCAACAAATGGGGAGTTTATGGGGATACAATGGGACTTTACCCTCTGGTAAACTAAGATAACTATGGAAAATCACCGTGTTTAGTGGGTAAATCAACGAACAAAATGGGTCATTTTCAATAGTTATGTTAAATTTCCAGAGGGTATATTGAAGCAGTTCATGGATTTATAAGCCAACACAAGTTCAACTGGGGGTCATCACCTTTTTGTATCTTCTCTTCATCATTCTGGGAGTGTGACTGGGAACGGATGACTGCAAGCAGTTCCAACCAAAATAAGATATGGTGATAGAAGATTTTCGATGCGACGGCCGGATCCCGTAGCCAGGTAGTTGCACATCATTTCATCGGAGTGTTGCACCTTTTTGTATCAGCATAGAACATGGGGCAGTGATTGACCAGTGTGTTTGGGGATCACGTCGTGTATACAATCAAACATGGCGTGCTGGCAAATCCATCATTTGGTTTGATGAATTTCCCATTGTATCAAACCTCCATTGAGTGAGCTGGGATTTTCCAGCTAGCCATGTTTGATGACACCGGAGAATTAATTATCTTAATTATCATCCCATTATATGATTATTATCCCATTATTAACCATTACTATCCCATTATTAGCCATTACTATCCCATTATTAACCATGAATCCAGTATCAACCACGATTGGAAAGCCACTATCGGCTCATGGCCCGAACAGGGACCCACCAAGGGAGCTCCTGGACAGCGCAGATGAACAGAAACGCCACGAACTGATGCAGGCGGACGAGCCATGGCAAGGGAATGGGCATGGCAAGGAGGAATCCTCCCAAAATGCGAAAAGGTCATTTATCACATGTGGCAGTGTGTCAAAACCTTGTACCCCTGTAGTTCACATCAAAATAGCTGGTAAATGGATGTTCATCCCACTAAAAATGGTATTAATAGGTATTGATCCATACCCACATGTGGGAAATTTCAATTTGCGAAATCGGCCAACTGCTAGAATCTGAAGTGAATCTGCCAGCTTTGTAGCTGGCTTCCAAGCCCTGAACGACTGTTCTTTTGGCTGGTTCCCAGTTGCGATCACCAATTTTTTCCCTAAGTAGATCCGTAGGTATTTCAGTCATGTGGTAAACCCAACGCCATAAACCATCCCCAAGCCGTCACCATTTGTGGTGTGATTTCAACCATCCCCAGTCATTTGAGTTGTGTATGGCATTGGTTTCTCACATTATTCACATGATCTACCTGGAGAAGCAGAGTGAAATGTGAGTGACGAAGCATTAAGATTTAGAAATCATCCACGTAAAGCATGAAATGATCAGCTCTTTTCTCAAAGTTCCCGTGCTTTCCGTCCTCGCAGGCTGCAACAATACAGTAGAAAATGGAAATCGATGAGTTTTCCACATGAAATCCATGAACCAACCCTGATCTTTGACCCCCCAAAATGGATGTTTACATGTATATATATGTATATTTCATATCTTATGTAATAATATTTATATATCTGAAAGAAAACATTATATATATATACTGGTTGGTGGTTTGGAACATGAATTTTATTTTCCCATATATTGGGAATCATCATCCCAACTGACTTTCACTTTTTTCAGAGGGGTTGAAACCACCAACCAGTATATACAGTATATATACATATATATATATGCAATCTGCTGAGCCATCTGTAAAATGGACGCCCCCCTATGACATGACCCATAGCGATCAACCGCCCCCCTTTCACCATGGCTGTTGATCATTTTCGCATCTTCCCATGATTTTCCCCGAATTTTTTCCCTTTCGTTTCCACATTTTCCATGAAACGGCCATAAATTCGGTGGAAAAAAATCCGTCGCAAAAAAGCGGAGGGCGTGCGCATGCTGGAGTCCGTGACGGCGCAAGTGCTGGCGGCGCCCGACATGGCAGCCTGGCTGTTGGGATATAAGACACAACAACGGGATTTTTTTTTCGCCAAGCGTTTTGTATATTTCAAGGGATATTTATCGATGTTTTGTGAGATTGATAAGCAACACAATGGCGGTCCTGAAAATAGGGGATGGGCCCATGGGCTCTCAATTTGTTGCATCTGTTCTGAGGCCTCGGTAGTGAAGATCCTCCGAGAGGCGAGGATGGTGGCGATGGTGATTTTCCAGTTCTGAGGAGCTGAGCAGCCAAGATGCTGAAACATCCCTTGTCTCACATGGCTCTGATAATTTTATGCTTGGAAATTGGGAAATTGCATTCGAGACTTGAACGGTCAATCTCTGTGACATATCATTGGAGCAAAGTCGCTGCAGTTTTGGTTGACTCGTTGGAAGACCCAGGACCCAAGAAAGCTCAGACAATTTGACAGTTTGAGTATCAAACATCCATAGTTTTGGTGCCTAACGGTTAACGTATATGTGTATATATATATGTGTATATATATATATGTATATATATATATACACAATATGATATGTATATAATGTGTACATGTATATGTATATGTATATGTATATGTATATGTATATGTATGTGTATGTGTATGTGTATATGTATATGTATATATGTGTATATGTATATGTATATGTATATGTGTATGTGTATATGTATTTGTCTTTGTATATGTATATGTATACATGTACTGTGAGGGCCCATGGCCTTGAAGCTTCCAAGGTTTCATTTTAGGGGGCTGGAAATGTAGGCCCTGTATCAGTGATGGTTCCAAGCCGTGCTTGTCATAGTATAAACACTACAGGTTCACATAATATATATTTATAAACTGTTTCTTGATACTTTTACCAGAAAACTACCCAAACATCTTCACATGCAACGCAGATGGTACAGGAAATGCATCAGAGCAGCTGGGATGACCAATGGGTTCTGCAGCCTTTTTGCTACAAAAGCCTCAAGCGTTTGGAACCCACCGTGGTTCAGCTACTTCTCTTTTTACCATGTCGGATGATGCAGCTGCCACTGCACCAGCTGCCGCAGTGCCAGCTGGAGCTGCACCACTCACTCGTGGACAAGACCAGTTGCCAGCCTTACGCGCAGCAAGGGCCGTGCTGAAGCAGCAGCTGAAAGAATCGACCAAAGAGATTCGCAAGGAGGCAGGTGCCACTCAAATTCTCATTCTTGTGGGGGACATGAGCCCTGAGCTTGCCAGGGTTGATGCATGTCAACAAACGTTGGCCATGTGACTGCATGCGCGCCTGTCAATATCTTTCTTGCCAGGTTCGCCGCAGATCTCGTCTCATGAAAAAAGCCCAAGGCTTAACGACGGGTGACCTGGCTTGGCTCATTGCTCGCCGTGCAGCTGAGTGAGGTTACAGCATTCATGCTTCCGAAAAGGATGCGGTTGAGCTGCAGCAGAAATCGTCCTCATTTTCTTCAAAAGCAGAAGGTGAGCTATGCGGATGCATACGCCGAAGGCGTTGAAGTCAACATCCTTGCGCCTGTTTGAAAAAAGCCGCTTATTGGGTCATCAAAGTGACTGTTTGGAAAGCCAAGGGCGACATGTCAGGGAGTGTTACGTTCGAAAATGTTGCAAGGAGAGACAAATGTGAATTCAATCAAGGCATCAGGTTCAAAGGTTCCCATGTTGAATCCTTCGCCAATCCCAATTTCATGTGCCGAAATCACTTTGGGTGTTTTATCTTTTGCGGCCTCTGGCAAAGTCAGAATTCTCATGGCCATGCGGTTTGAGCTGATCAAATGTTCCGCCCTTGCCATTTTACCCTTGGTGTGGAGAACAGATTTTGGAGCCAAATCCTATAGACACGGAGCAAAATAAAGTTAAAACATTTCAAAATACTGTTAGGAGCTTGTTGAGCAAATCCCATAGGCACGGAGCCAAATAAGGTTAAGACATTTCAAAATACTGTTAGGAGCTTGTTGGGCAAATCCTATAGGCACGGAGCAAAATAAGGTTAAGAAAGTCCACATAATAAGAAAATCAATAGAATCATCTAATTCTTTTGATTGTGAATTTCCAGGTTCTTAACCTTATTTGCTCCAATTCCATTAGGATTGCAGTCCGGAAGTCTTCCCTGTATTTTTCGAATCCTTAACCTTATTTGCTTCACTTACATTGGGATTGCACTCTGGAAGTCTTACCCTTATTTCGCCACCCCTTACCCTGATTGCTCCATTTACATTAGGATTGCACCACGCAAATTGACACTCACCTCCCGGAGCCTCATCCTTATCATCTCATCACACAATTTTCAGCATATTGCCGGATGTGGCGGCAGCTCGGCTGCTGGCGGCTGTGGCGGCTGTGGCGGCTGTGGCGGCTGTGGCGGCTGCTGCTGGCTATGGCGGCTGCTCGTGGATGCAGCGACTGTGGCGGCTGCTGCTGGCTGTGGCGGTTGCTCGTGGATGCGGCGGCTGTGGTGGATGCGGCAGCTTGGTGGATGCGGGTTGCTATGGCAGAGGCCATCGGCTTCAGCGCCATCACCTTGAGGGAGGGTTCACATCATATTGGCACTTGTTGGCTAGATTTTCCTCCTAAGTTTGCAAGTAGATGAGATTTGGCATTGGGTTGTTGCGGCTGGCCGTGGCTAGGGCGCCTGCGTTTCTTTCGTTTGTGTCTTGTCCTCCTTGTGGTCTTTGTCCCTGTCTTCTTGTATCTCTCCCCTGTTTCTCCCCTCGTTTGTTTTCCTGCCATTGTCGCCCTGTGCAGGTGCCTACAGCGACCTCGAGCTCTACACGCAGCGGCCCCTTGGCTTGCTTGTGGTTGCTGCTTGCTGCTACTGCTGCTGGTGTTGCTGCTGCTGTCGCTGTTGTTTGTTGCTGGCCTGGCTGCTTCTGCTGGTTGCTGCTGCTGCTGCCGGTTGCTGTTGCTTCTGGTGGCTGTTGCTGCTGTTGTCTTCCTGTCGCTGTTGTTCTTGCTGCTTGTGATTGTTCTTGCTGTTGGTGTCGTTGTTGGTGCTGCTGTTGCCCCTTTTTGGTACTCTTTCTCTCTTTCTCTTGCTTTCTTTCGCCTTGTTTCCCTCTCTTCTGCTTGCCCTCTCTCTCTCTCCCTGTCCTGCTCGTTGTCTTTGTGGCTGTTTGTCTTGTCTGTTCTCTCTTCCTTGTTCTCTCCGTCTCTGTCTGTCTCTGTCTGTCTCTGTCTCCATACTCTCTGACCTTGACCTCTACTCCCTAGCCCGGCCAGCACTATCACTTCTGACTGCGCCAGACTGAAGTGACAGAATCAGTTTGACTCAAAGTATGACTCGCAGTATGAATGCAGTATGAATCAATGAATGAGATAAGCAGGTAAGAAATGGCGGAATGATGGCGGAATATTTGATCTACTTGAGCTGAGCTATGGTATGGTATATCTTACACATTGTCCAGTTGCAGCCGCATTGTCAGCCGCAGTTTTTTTTTGAGCAGCCTTGTAGAAAACAGCCCAGGAGTCACAACCTATATGGTAATCGATCTAAAGGTCCTTGCAAAGAGTTTTAATTGCGAAGACCGTTCATGTTATGCTGGAAACCCGTGCGAAAGTTTTTTTTCGCGTTCGCGAAAGTAACCTTTTTATCCGCGAAAGTTTCGCGAACGTTGGACATTGTCCTCATTCTGTCACGGGCTGCCACCCACTGCCGCCCGGGGTCTGGCAGGAGAAGGGCACCGGAGAATTTCGGTTTGGTTCTGGTTCAGTTGCCTGTGTGGTGGCTTCATAGGTAGCAGCCGAGCTTCCAAAGGTGAGGCTTCGCGACAGCCAAACACCATGGTCCTGAAGCACATCCTTGCACCTGCTGCCGCTGTCACTGCCTAATGATGTTTTTTGAAGTGTCAAGAAAGAAGCCCCACATGCAGCAGCCAAGTTTCCAAAAGGGAGGCTTTGCAAGAGCCAAACACCAAGGCCCCTGGTGTTCGCTTTTCCTAATTAAATGTTAAAGGAGCCGCTGTCACTGGTCCATCCGTTTTGCATGTTTCTCCCGACAACATAGAAAGTACCCAGCCCCATATAAAAACCCCTCGCCCCGAAATCAAAGTTGATTGTTTCATTGGACCTGGATCCGCGGCAGTGACGCTGTAC